AAAAAAAAAAAAAAAAAAAAAAGTGATAAGGGATAGGGACCTGAGTGACAAAAGCGTTGGTAAAGAATCGATTACTAAGGTGTTCGCTGCGAACACCCTGAAAATCGATCTTTTTCATAGGTTTAAATGGCATGACAATCGATATATCGCAATTCACGCCACGCCACTGCACTGAAAGCAACTACTCGTGCGTCCAAGCCGCTCCTATTGCCATCGAGTCAGGCCCGCCGCATCCCATCTCGGGCCCTGGTACCAGTTTTAAGGTCCGAGCCTCAAGCACGGAGGGGGGGGGGGTCCGAGGGGCATCCCCCGAGAAATTTTAGAATTTATACGACTAATCGGAGCTTCCATAAAGATTTTTTCCATCAATTTCTGCGGAATAATTATGTTTTTTTTTTCAACTTTCAGCACAAAATACTTGCGAATTGTTGCATTCAAAACATCTGGAACATTTTTATTTTTTTTTTTTTTGGGGGGGGGCATATGATACTATTTTCAGTTCTAAGAGGGCCAGGCCCCCCTGGACTCCCCCTTCGTTTGTCTATGGCAAGGGAGTTGAGCCATGAGCCATTGAAGTCGAGAATGCCTAGACTGCAGACTCTTAGCATCTGACGACGGAAGAAAATGAAACGCAGTTACTAAAAATATCCCTCTGTACTGAAAATCTTGAAAATAGATAGAAATTTTTCAAGAAGTATACTTCTTTGAAAATTTAAGAAGAATTCTACAGTGCCCCAGCGTGTTTCTGAAATTCTATTGACCTTTTGCGAAATTTTTAGGGTAAATTTTTCACTTTTTCTTACGAAACAAGGGTTGCATGTGAATTCGTAGTGGTTATTCACGGGTAAAACGGGCCCCCCTCCGGGACCCGGGTCCCGATACCAGGGACGCAGTACCCCCGCCTTGTGCCGGGCCTGCTCTCATGCACGCTGGCCTTTCCGATTTCCGTTATTATTTTTGCAGTCATGAATGCGCTTAAGTGCGCTTCAGTTAGAATTGTATTTAGCAAATGGGTGGTTTTTAAAGGAGGATTATAATTAAACAAGTGGTTAGAAATGGAAACAAAATAATATAAACTATGCAAAACGATTATTCCGATAACGGAACTTGGCTGTTTTGGAAATGCCTTCAAAAACGGCGTGATACCTCACGCATTCCGGAGATTTCAAATAGTTGTATCGTTGCGCCGTAAGAATGTGACGGAAGATTTAAATGGAAATAGCCTCCATGCACGCTGGGCTTGTTGATTTCCTTTGACATTTTAGCAGTGGGGAATGCATAGCTGAAGTGCGCTCCAGCTAGAATTGTATATATTAAATGGGTTATTTTCTTAGGAGGATTATAAATAAACAAGTAGTTAGAAATGAAAACAAAATACTATTAACTATGCAAAATTGCAAAACGATTATTCAGATATCGGAACTTGGCTGTTTTGAAAACGCCTTCAAATGCGGCGTGATACCTCACGCATTCGGGAGAGTTCAAATAGTTGTATCATTGCGCCGTAAGAATGTGACGGAAGATTGCAATTGAAATAGCGTTCATGCGAGATTACTGAAGACAAACTCGAAAAGGACGTGAGACGCGCGGTGATGAAAGCACTTATTCAATGTGCGTTTCTCACAACGCTTAAATTCGTTTTTCCATTTAGGTCATTATTATTATTATACTCATCATTATTATTTATGAGTAGGTTATTAAAAATGAGTAGGTTATTCAAAATTAAATACACGGAATTTTCGGTAATGAGCGCATAATTCAACGCCCTGCAGGAAGCACGGATAAACCGATAGTGCCAGAATAAATGAACAATAATCCTTCAAATTCTTTTGACTTTTTTTTTTTTTTTTTTTTTTTTTTTTTTTTTTTTTTTTTAAATTGCAAGTCTTGTGTTCTTTTAAGCAGAAAATCTTGCAACTTTTAGAGCTTTTACTAACTTTCTCTAATACGCATATATTTTTCCTTTTATAACCTCTGGAGGTGCCTTGTACTTAAATTCTTTTAGAACAATCGAGAGGCTTGGAGGACAGGGCGCTTAAGTGCAGTTTTTGCTATTCAAGGGACGTTTTTAAGGTTTCAAAATTATATGGAGCCTTAAGGCAGAAAAGAAGTTTAAAGTCACTCTTTGATGCTTTAAAGTTGGATTCTAGTTGTGAATTGTTGGCGGTATATGCTTTCAAACTAGTAGGTATTTGTTGAGTCCACGAAAATCTCAATTTTTCAATAACTGCACTTATGCGCCTTTGTCCTCCAAGCCCCTCAATCGAAGATACAACTCCAGCATCATGCGTCATGTATAACATTTACTCTCCTTATTCTTTTTATATATTTTTCAGCCACATGCATCTTGTTATAATTATTTACCTGCCTCTTCTTCTCTCTTTTCGTTTCTATTGTTTATTTCCCCTTTTCATATTTTACTTTAGTGCCTCTGATGTGATGGTGCTTGGTACAGTTGCTTCTCAGAATTATATGTGAGCAAGTTCTGGAAATAAAACTGGCCGAACCCTGTGCCCAATTAACTTTGTTGAAGTGGGACCACGAATGCTAAGTTTAAGACATTGCCTACGAAGACAGGGATGAAAGAAGAATGTAGTACTTATAATCGTCCCATACCTAGGTATAGAGTAGGTGCATTCCATACCTATTTGATGGTATTTACTTAAAACTAAAGCAATAGGACACTCTGTAGGGTTTTTTTATGTGGTATTTTAAAAATTATTTTACAAGTATTTAATACATTATCTTGATCGGTGCTGAGTATCATATTTTGGCCACTGGGTACGTATTCTCAGAATATATATAAAACCACAAAATTTGCAAAATTAGTACCTGTTATCCTGACAGAACCATATTGATTAAAGAGGCACTAACCTCTTGCAATTCTTTACACATAAAACATTTTATGAAGCATAGGTGAAATAAAACTAGCGAACGTTCTTATTGGAAAGTTCAAAATATTTATTTGAGATTTCATGAACTAAAATTTTTTTGTCATTTTACAGGATGTTCAAACAACAGAATAAAATTTACAAATGAAAAATAAATACATCTCATACGCTTGGACACAATTAAAGAACGAAACAATTGTTAAGCGTAATAAGTAGGTAACAGTAACGCCTTATTATTTTTCCCCCTTTAGACAGAAGTTCTTTTGACCATTTAAGATGACTAATTTTTTTTGCCCAAGTAGCATAGAAGTAAAGGATGAAGTACGACCTCGTGTTTCTTTCTTTCTAATTTTTAACGCATTGAGAGCAAGGTCCCTCAGTGCTATAGAAAATTGGTTTTGTGCGTAGAGTTAGTCAAAGAAAAATCATAATTTCAGATGGTTTCAGTACTTATGGAACAAAATTAAAATTATGCAAAAAAAAAAAAATAAAATAAAATAAAATAAAATAAAATAAAAAAAATTTAAAAAATTCTACTTTTATCATTTTTTAATTTTGTTGAAACATTTAGAAACTTTCATTATTCCTTCCATGCCACTTGAATGACTATATAATAGATGTCTTGCAAAATTTTTAAAGTTTGTAGCCTTGGTGAATTTTATATGACTGCATCAGTAAAAGAACTCGAGCCCAGTTTTGAAAGAAAAAACAAAAAACAAACAAACAAACAAAACTGCTTAATTGAGGGAAAACTGGGAGACACAGTGGCTAATATAAGTTAAAAAGAATTCATGCAACAGTTAAGCTGGTAAAAGCAACAGTTCGTTGGATTTTCATTTCAGATTTTTAATCTACACAAGAATTATAATTGAGAAGAGTCATACTTAAAAGGCTGTTAAGACAGAATCTAGAAGGAACTTTTCATACAATTATTTACACTTGACTGGAGGATCCCATTTTTGCAATTCCGAGCGGTATCACTAAGGTAAAAATAAGAACAAGAATCATTCCTAATATTTGACAAAGATAATCATTTAAACTCAACACTTTTTGGATTAAATAGATTGCAGTTATACGTTTGATACTGTTCCCTTTCACTCAAAATTCAAACACTCTATTTTAGCTTATATTTCCAAGTAACAATTTTGAGGCAATGAAAAAATCTCTAAAACAAAATCACTCATTTCATATTTTTCCTCATTCCATACTATAATAAATGGTGAGAAATGTCAAAGCTTGAAACAAGATTATTGAAAGTGTGCAATTAGTTTATACGGCACATAAGTTCACTTCCAGGTAATCATCTTAGGACATTAAAACTCAGACAGGATGAGGTAAAGGTCATGGAAACTCAAAAAAATCAATGTTATATCATTCATCCATCATTCCTCATTCCTCATTCTTAACATCTAACTCTCATTAGTGATACCACTCCATTCCCAAAAGAGGAATTTTTGTATTAGAACAAAAAATTTACATGGTCCTTCAAAACTGATGACATAAAAAATAATAACATTTAATAAATAGAATTTTAAAACAAAAAACTACAGTTTATCACAGATCATCCTTAAAATTATAGACAAAAAACAAAACAGGTTCTAAAATCTTGGAAAGCATAAGAAACACTTAAATAGAATAAAATTTAATTCAAATAACAAGAACAGGGAACAAATATTGTGATGCGAAAGTTTGAAAGTTCATTAAAAGTTAAAGTAGCATCAAAAAACGAAAGTTGAGGAATTCTCTGAGCTAACTATACTCCTCCTGGCAGATGCATCAAAAAATTAATTTGCTTCCATGTCCCTGGAGGACAGGATTTTGAAAATATTACACCACTTTGCTGACTGTTGCCAAAGCAAAGAGATATTTTTGCTCTGTAAGGTTCATTAGAACAATATATCATTCCTTTGTTGCATGCATTACTCCATACACCTCTGAAAAAGTAAGGGAACCAGATGGCAAGGTTTTAAGTTAATTTTGCAAAAACTCACTATCTTTAAGTTCATAAAATAATGGATGTTTCATCCTGCATTATTACTTTTTACAATAACTTTAAAATAGAAAAATCCATCAAACTTTCCAAAGATTTTCAGTTCATTAGCGAGGTATCACAGGTACTATCTTAGGTTGCAAATCATTATCCACCCCCTTTTTCTTTTACATGTTCTAAATACATTTAGTGCATGCTCTGCAGAGATGTCACTATTAGGAATATTTATGAGAAAATTCCAAGATAAGCTTTCATTTCAAGCTACTATGTCATTTTAAAAGTTAATAAATTAAAAAACTTAGCAATTCTGTGTGGCTTTTTGGATATATTTCTTGCCGATTTTCAAACCTCATCCTATTGACATCCTATCATTTCCAAGAGAGGCGAATGATGAGATATGCTCTCATTTTTTTGAAGAAGCAACATCCCTAGAAAGAGAAGAAAAACAACGCAGGATACTCTAACATTGATGGGTGAACAGTATTGATTCCAGACATAGAAATTCTCATATGATAGCGAACTAGAGGTTTTGATTTTCTTTAGGTTGTCTTCAGCAAGGCTGAAAAATGTCGAAGAAAATTCAAAAGATCTAGACAACTAGATTTGGAAGAATTTATCAAACAGTAAAAATTGTAGACGAAAAAATATGCTAACAGCTAGTATGTAGCTGCATGATTGATTAGAAATAGAAAGACAGGAGTGAGTTTGTCTAATCAGACCTGTGAGGTCATGACTGTAAAATATGAAAAAAAAAACAAAAAAAAAAAAACTTAAAACTGCCTTTGCACTTACTCTGTTTTGCTGGTAAACGTAGATATCGATATGATCTCAGAATAGGTGCTTCATAGGGAGTACAATCTGTACCTACTTGGCACCTTTCAGAAGATGAAATGGGCGAGCAGAAAAGTTATTCATATCAGCACTATGATATTATATCTTCCTCATCAAAATTTCACGAGAAAAATGAAGTGCATGCATAGAAAAAATTTTGATGATCATCTTCTGAGTGGAATATTTTGAAAAACAACTAACATTGATAAATGCAAAATGAAAAAAATTGATGATGGAATCTTGCAGTTCCTCAATTATATTAGGTATTTATACTGCAAACATTTATTAAGGTTTTAATTCTCTAAACCTTCGTTTTTCTTTAGTAAACAATTTAGAAAAGTAGCACAGTACATAATGATTTAATTGATATCTCATCATCTGCTGGCCCATTTATTTCAATATTTAGAAAACTTTCACTGAAGAGATACATACTCAAAAACAGAGGAGCCTCCCTTCTAGGTATAGGCATTCTATTTATGTTAATTGGCTGAGAGTCCGTACCTGCGGTTAAATCTTCACAAAATCCATAATATTTTCTTAATCTACTTTGAATTGAGTGCCCGCACTCAAAGGAAAACCTTAAAAAGAAATAACAAAAGAGCCTAAAAGAGTAGAATTATTGAGATAGGCATTGTTGTCAGATGGATGGAAACCATGAGATAAGTCAAAAATGCATCACCTTGGTTCTTGCTCTTACTGACAACATTGTGCACAGGCAACAAGAGAGGACAAAGAAACACAAGTATTCAGCTAAGCGGGTGAAATTTCAAAGACTGTGAGGAGGGCAGCGAATGGCCGATCTGTGTCCCATTACTCGTCCCTGCTGATTTGGCAACCAAATCATCGGCGCTGAAACTATGGCTTTGCGAAGAGTAGCACTTTGGCGGAAGCATCAATTTCAGCAAGTCTGCCCTTCGCTGCTGCTCGAAGTTACTCAACATATTCGCTAGATGCCTACTGCTGTCATGTCTCGTGTTATCATCGATATGAACAACATGGTCTTGGGATACTAATGATCTATTATTTAAAATTAACTCAGGGTTTAGGCCTAACCAAGAGAGTACTGTTTGAGCATGGCGTTGGACAAAAAGTTTGTACAGGTCGAGGTCCGTCTGGGTGCAGTTATCACAGACGACAGGTTTTTCACCGTCAACCGACTCCCAGCCGAACATTTCAGGAGGATGTGATGAACTCCTTTGGAGGACGCTAGAATTTTGGCTTCTATTGGATTCGTTCGTTATGTTGGGGTTAGAGTGAGCTGGAAGTGGAAATGGATACCGGCTGGATACAACATGACTACTAGTAGTTGCTAGCTCTTGCAAAGCATGAATAGCGTTCTTTACCTGGATCCAACAGAAACCAAAACAATGAGTTCCATAAAGGAAAAAATATTTACAGAAAAACCTAACAAACATTATGGGGGGGAGCAATATTATGGTTCATGGTAGAGTAAACCTAACTATGTTTCCATTATCTTAAATTATTCTGAGTATTCTTTAAGTGCTGACAAAAATGAACAGATGGAGTGAGACGGAGAGGTTCAATCATCCTAAGATATGACAACTGGCCATCAATGATCGTTCCTAGTGCTGCATTTCTTTCTCTTCCAATTGGGGAACATTGATAGCACAGTAGGTAGCTTATAAATATAAAATATGCAGAGCACAAGACATAAAGACCATATTTAAGACAGGCAGATGTTCTTGAAAAAAAAATAAAAAAAATAAAATATTGTGACACAGAAAATAGCTATTTGTGTTGTGCCAATTTCAATTTTCTAGTGTTTGCATTACATGTTCATATGTATTTGATGTTTTGCAAATTTCATTACCAGGTTTTTAGTGTATTTTCTGAAGGAAATAAACCATTTTTTTGTTTCCAAACTGCTGTAATCTTCAGCTACAAAAATTGTGCAGGACGTAGCATCTGATGTAGTATTTTAAGGCCTTAAAAACAGTAGATTGATGTTAAAAAAAGAACCCACAAATTTAAGCTGTAAAATATAGCTTTTAACTATATAAAAATAAAAAGAGTTACTAAAGTCTTGGAGTTAATATTGCCCAATTGAGGGAAGGCCCCAACTTTTGTTCCGGGTACTCTACAGACCTGTGGTTTTCGTTTAAAAAATAACGGAAATCATACCTCTTGACTAAGCGTTGCGACATGATGATGCAGAGAGGTTACTTGTGTATCAAGGCGGTCAATATTTAATCGCTTCTGTTCACTATCTCCCCTAGCTTGACTCCTCAGCTTTTCCAATCTACCAGATTAAAAAACAAAACAAAGATAATTTTTGGAGGATTTTTAAGCAGTGATTCAAAGAATATTTATAACTACATATGTAGATTTAAATTACAATTCAAAATTCAGCCAGGCTAACAGAAATAGTACTTGCTCCAGTTAAAAAACATGCTAACGGATCTATTTCGATGTTTTTTTATGAGATGCTGAAAAGAGGTAGAAAATGAAGTTTACAGAAAAGTACTCCATGAGCTCTCAATACGTTTTTTGAGGTTGAGACCTTCTAAACCTTTGCAGATTTTATACCTAATTAGAAATCCTTTGACGAAAGGAAAATATCAATACTTGTTGAACATTTTATAGAACAAAAAGTAGTTACGAAATCGCACTTTATTACCTGCTGTTGAATTTGGCATGTCTTGGACTATATGTAACCGTTGAATGATGGACTGGTGATCGTGTTGGAGGAGAGAGCGGCGAGGTTTCTCCCTCTTCAGGTACATTTTCATCATCCTCGCTGATGGAAGGCAGCGTTAATGATGGCATTCCATTCATATCAGCTTCCTGATGGGGCAAATAGGAAAATATTAGAGGGAAATAGGAGAATAGTGAATTAGGAATCATAGATAGATACTAGACCCAGTGCGAAACTATATTCATAGATATACCAACTTTAGCCGATAGCTGACAGTAGTGCATTAATTCGAGTTGGGACTGGATTTCTCATAAATGAGGGACATCCATATCCTTCAAGGGTGCACATTCTGCCAAGCTTTCCAATTTTCATAAGCTCTCCTGCTGGCATTCCACGTTTTTTCATCAGCTTCTCACAAAATTTCCTACAGTCTCCAAACATGATGCCTTTTTTTTTGTTAATTTATGGCTTTTGACACTCATTGAATTCCCCTCCTTTCAAATTTTCACTCAACCAAGCAGGCGCATTAAAAATTTTACTCACAGCAAAAAAATGGACCTGGACTCTTAGTGAATCGTTCAAAATTGCATGCATTTAATGAATAAAATTTCCAGCCTGAATTTCAATAAAAGAACCACCAAAAAAGAGCCTTTGACCGTGTCACTGCTCAGAGGAGTATTTTCCAAAACTTACTCTAAAGACAATGCACACAAATTTCAGATCAAACTGTAGCCATGTCAATTTGAAAATTGAATTTTAAAAGACACAATTTTAGGGAGAAGGTATTTAAAACTTCAATCTGCCAATTGCAGGCCTTACAATTTTGGATAAAAGATCAACTTCGTAACCTTTTATTGTCACAAAAACGAACTAAGTTGCTGATAAGACAGAAAGAGAGAGAGGGAGAGAGAGAGAGAGAGAGAGCATTTTCTGTTGAAAATTCAGACATACAGTTTTTGCCTGGCTTAAAAATCACACTTTAGAAAACCTTGTCTCTATGGACGATACCTTAAACAGTCATCATGTATGAATTTTTCATTCTATAAATATTTAAATGATTCATACCTCAGCCTCATAGCCTTCACGGAGGTTATAGGTGAGATCATGTTGAATGTCATTCGCAAATTCCTGCTGGTACTCGGGATAGAGCCTGAGTACCTCAACCAGGCCTTGGATATTGATACACTTGAGATCACAGTATGTTAGAGCTTTGACATCACAGCTAGATTTGACGACGACCTGATCTAAGGGTCGTCCAGAGTCTGCGACAACGCCGCCGCCACCACCCCCATTCCCTGAGCCTTGTAACCACATATTTATATCACAGCCTACTAAATCACCTTTGCCTGGAATCAAAAGCAAGAGACAATAGAATATGAGCAGTATAATACATTTATTACAGGATACAATTATAGCAAAAGCTTCCTCAACCAAACTTTTGTCGAGACACAGATAGTCTTTTGGATCTAAATTTTACTTGGCCTTCAGGCATTCTCCTCCTCCTCTTTTTCTACAAACGACTAGGGCACGGCCCTGATTGTCAGGCCATCTAGTACCAAGCACCATAAATAATATGAATATTAAAAATCTAGGAATCACTAAAATAAAGGACTCGTCAAATTGATAAAAAAAGCATTAAAATCTTCAATCATCCACAGGAGAAGAGAGCCAGCTTTGTGCCCGTCTCTTCGGCGGTTGTCCAGGTAATCTTTTCCCTAAGGGTTGTCCAGTCATACAAATATTCACTAGTCTCTCTTCATCTATTCGGTCAACGTGCTCCGACCACATCCTTCTCCTTACACTGGTCCACTTGGCTACATCTTGTTGTGCGCACCTAACATACCTTGCATCTATCTCTTACGACTATTCTCAGTCATATCACCTGATACAGTTCGTATCCGGTTCATGTCCGGTCTGACAACACTCCACAGTCCAGCCTAATGACCGGCCATGAGCCGGGTCCGGCTACCTATTTGCAAATGATTACCTCATCTTCATTTTCTCCCAAACACCTAGGCCCATAGGCACATTAGATTGATTTAGAAGAGATTGTTCTAGCATTAGTGATTACTCTTGTGTTACCACCCGTGACCATGAGTCAAGATCGCAATTCCTTGTTCTTCCCAGCCGTCATTTTGTGCATTGTTTTGATTCACGTTCAATATATGTATTTATTCATAGACACCCATGTTGGACCTTTTTCTTCTCTCTTGGTTCGGGGCACTAGCTCGGCCTAGATCCCAACAATCTTGCACTTTGAGAGCATCTCTGATGGGCTCACTGGTCTACCGATCTCAAAGTGTAAAACATGCTATCTTCCTAAGAACTTTAATCTCAACTGTGCGAAATTGTTGTTTGGTGTGCTTTGTTTCAGTCCTATAGTCTCTATAGCAAACGTTAACACCGGCCAAACGATGGTCTTGTAAACTCTGACTTTACTCTCCCAGGCCATACGTTTATTGCGCCACACCATCTCGTTGAGACAACCAGCAACTCTTGCCGCTTTCTGTGCCTGGTCTTCCACTTCGGAGCCCAAGTCTATTGTACCTGTCAGCAACGCTCCTAGAACCATCTAACTTCTAATTTGCATCTTATGGGGCTCCTACTGATCACCATGATTTTCGTCTTAATGGCAGACACCTTCATGTTATACTTTATGGCTGTCAGTCTAAATGAGTGCAAGATTCTCTGCAGCTCATCTTCCGAATCTGCTATCAGCTCGACAACATCAGTACAGCAGATGATGTTAATGTTTTCATTCCTCAACATGTAACCTCGCTTTGGTTGTATAGTGCAAATCAATTTGTCCATTACTAGATTAAAGAGGAATGAGCTTAATGAGTCCCCTTGCCTCACTCTCTTATTTACAATGTTGGTAACTGAGAGACCTTCCACGGTGACAATTTGGGTTCTTGTGTTCGGCAACTAACTTGAATTAATAAAACTAAATAAATTTTTGGTTATTTCATCAAAAGAGAAATTGTTTAAGTCCTCAGAAAAATGCAGACATTTTCAGAGAAATGCATCAAAAAATGAAAAAAAAAAAAAAAAGATTTCAAAAAAGAATCGAAAGAGTCACCTTCTTACACAGTGGATTTGCATCTGTGTCTGTCTTTAAAAACCATTGCGTTTGATAAATTCCACATTTTTGCACTTGGTTTTGACTCAGGCAGTCGATCAGGGTAAAATGACGCTTAATTTCAAATTTTCTTTAGTCCTTTGACTATTCAAGTTACTAAAGTGTTACTACCATTGAATAATGAAACTGTAAATAAGGTGTTAAAAGACGTAGTTTGAATACTTTTCGAAGTTGTCAGTATACTTTGAAAACGCAAAAAAGATATGTTGCGTTGAAAATCAAATATTCTCTGCTTTAGTGCAAACAGAGAAAGTACTTTCTTGGTGCCTGAGCTGAGCTCCTATCTTTTTCAAAATAATTGTTTACCATTAGAAGCTCTGAGCATTATCTCCTGTTAGGAATCATGTAATGTTAGGGCCTAAAAGTCACCAATGCACAAACCTAGGATAGCGACAACCATTCCATCTTGAATCACTTCCATAGAGCCATTACAGAGGTAATAAATTGAATAGAGTGCATCTCCTTTGTGAATCAAAAACTCTCCTGGAGCACAAAAGTTAGTCCTGATATGTAGTGATAGAAGCTTTAGACATCCCTGCGAGGCGCCTTCAAAAATTGGCAACTGGAGAATTTCCCGATGAAGATGCATCGAAACATCTCCACGTAACTCTTCCGGAAATTCTTTCAGCGTCTGGGAAAACAGATTGAGAAATGGTATTTTGAGAAAAGGTAAACTAAAGACAGAAATAATGCAGCAAAAAGTTGATCATTGCATTCTGTGATATATTCAAAAGCTAAATCAATGATTCAGCAATAAAGATTCTACTTAGTTTATTATAGAGTTTGGTGATAGATTTTTAACAGAACAAAACAAAAATTTGCAGAATGAAATGAGCAGCAACTGATGGCTGACTTACAAAATTCAGATAGTCTATCATCTAAAAATAATTGTAAAATGTTGCTAAGGGCTATTGGTGAAAACTAAGATGGATAAACTTTATTGGACAGCATCTGATTATTAAATGAATTAAATAACTTAAATACTGAGTACTCTAATTTAATTAGAGCTAAATGAGGTTCATATCCTGCCTATCAGAAAAGTTCTGTACAAGTTTGATTCAAGAGTTTTTTTTTTTTTTTTTTTTTTTTTTTTTTTTTTAACCATGTTACCACAGTTGCGTGGCTATTCATTATTATTTTATCTAAAACATTTTTTTTTGAATAAAAAGAAATTAAAAATTAGTTGCTAAATACTATTTAAAGATGAAGAGTTTGAATGATGAAACTTCAGATTCTAAAAGAAACTATTCTCCATCAACATCAGATTCTAAGAAAACTATCCTCTATCTTCCGAGGAGACTTTGCAGAGAGAACGGTAAAATGTATTGGTTACAAAAAATGACTCATCCTTCAAAAAATCAAATCGGTCTCTGGATAACAAGGAATAATTTTTGGAAAAAGTGTCATACAAAATAATGCCTACCAATTCTTTGCTTGAAAATTAAATTATGGGCAATTGATGTTTGGGCAGGAATATATAATTGATTACAGTTGAATAATACTCTATTTTAAAAGGAATGAGCAAAGTTAGCGCAAGAAATCAAACCACTTTCCACAAAAAACAAACAAAACAAAAACAAAACAATACTCGCAAAATAACAAACAAAATGTCAGGACATCTGCCAAGGAAAAAAGAGGAAGCTGCACAAAATATGACACGGATTTAGACACACTGTACATTCAGTAAATAGGCTGCAAAAGTTTTAGTGCCATCGTCGGGTGTTCTAAGGGTTAGTATTAATTAAAAGGGATATTTTTCGAAAAAAAGTTTATAATTTTTTCAGTTATATACTTACCATATTTAACTTCAATTCCCACACTGACACCAATGCAACTAGTAGCCCAAAATACGCGCTGAATATGCTTACTCAACTCCTACACTTTCGCACAGCAAATGAGAGATTTTATGGTCCCAAGATTGAACTCAACATTTCTTTTTCATGCAGAGGAATGAATGGGTGCGTACTATGCTATTGTTTCCGTGATACGGACTGAACAAGGTACAAATTTAAGCATTCTCATGTACATTTCTCCCTTAAAATATTTCATGAACAACGATTTGCACAACGAAAATTACTCAGATTAACTCTCATTCAAAATAGTAAAGTCTTTACCTATCACTGATTACGAAATATTTGACTTTCTCATTCACAAGAAAATCCAAAGTCTACTTTAATCAAATCGTGCACTACAAAGAATCTGGCGTGAATTATTTCCGACGTAGGATTTTGAGGAGAATTGAGTGACCTTTTATTAAATTCAGACCTTGTCTAAAGGTCCATTATGGAGGATAAATGATCGTTGGTTCTTCTATAGTAAAACATTTGTGAAAAATTGCAGGAATCTAAAATGGAGTTACGATGTTCTTACTTTGGATGATGGAATAGACTTTGAGGCAAGATTTCTTGAAAATCAATTATGAATCAATTTGCTGAAACTTGTCCATTACCTTCTCCATTTACCAAAATTTTCGAGTGAGTTTGTACAAGAGAATTTAAGTATGAGGTAAAAAAATGGAAACTACAAATTATCGTTAACTTGTGAACACTGAATTTCAGCAGTATTGTTTCTTCCGCATAAAAAGGCCAAGGGCTCAAAAAACCATTTGAAATATAGTCATAGGAAAATGGAATGTGAAATTTTTGTGATGCGGAAAAGAAAATTTCAAAAAATTTCCTAATGCTAAAATTTCCACTGATCTCAGAAGTGTAATTTTCCAGTCTCCTTATCTGCTTCAGAGTAATAATATCGAATAATGTGCTAAATTTTTTCAAAATTTTCTTTGAGCACCCATTCAAACACACGCAAGAAAGAGAAAACTTGACAAAGTGCACTATTTTTGAAAACACCCCACTTTTTAGGAGCGGGCAGAGTCAGTGAGGAATCAGCTTGAGCGTGCAGCCACAACACACACATACCTCTCTCACCTCATGAATATCTATTCCATGATTGAGTGACCACATAGTTTGAAAATAGTCCTGCATTCGTTGCTTTAGCTCTTTTGGGATTTGATGAAGCATCAGGAAGTCCTTCAAGTCCCGCCACTTTGACTGATACATAGAACGTCGAGAATACATTCGTTGGATGATTGCCGTTACATTACCAAAGACTACAGCATGCATCAGAGCTGAAACACAAGAGTTTGCTATCAACCACAAAGAACTGCGTTTTCAACCACTCAAAATCCTTAAAATCTGTAGCTGAAAATAAACTGAGACCAAAAATGTTCGAGATTGCTAATTGAAGAAATTTGAGCATGGGAAAAAGATTACACCTCAAACTTCCGTGAAGGTTTACTTTTGTAAGGCCTCCTCCAAAATCGGGAAGATGCACAAGTTGGAAATGGTTTGATAATATTTCCCACATTTCTCATTTTCGAGAACGCTGAATGATACAATTTTTGACCGAATCGCTGCCAAAGTTTCATTAAAAACTTTATTGGTTAAGATTCACTTTGTATCTTAACTACTTCTTCTTCTAGTTTTTTCTTTCCAGCCAAGGCCATTATTTGGGATCTTGACATCATCTACTTTTAAGTACACCCTCTTATACAAAAAAAGAAGCTAAGATTTGAAACAGATGCTTACCACCAATGAGCATAGTTAGAATACTGAAAACTTTTTCGGCACTGGTATTTGCGGAGACATTTCCGAATCCAACACTTGTAAGGCTTGAGCAGGTAAAATACAAAGCTGTGATATAAGATTCCGAATGAGATATACTGGTGACATTCACCCTCAGCCTCTCAGATAGAGTATGCAACCAACCTACAGTGGAATGAAGAAAAAAAAAAGGGATCAATCACGGACAAGAGAGGGATAATTATTGAGACCTTTCTGCATACGAGGTCTGTTCCATAAGAAACCGGATTTTGATGATAAGTAGCCTATTGTGCATTCAAATTAGGTTTTCTTGGACTTTCCTGATTGCTGATCACATACTAAAAAACGCTAGATTCACAGATTTTGTTTATCTTGATCAGTATTCATCCTGTATCACCTTGAACACAAGTAAGTCAGGTGCCTTCTGCGATTTTCATTGTGCGATCACTAATAGAGCAAAAATTTAACATTAAATTTTGTTTTATACTTTGTATCTCTTGTACCAAAACTTTTAGTATGGTAAGTAAAGTTTACCAAAATCATTGTATGAGTCATCCTCAGTGTTTTGAGTCGTATAAAAATGTTTAAAACTGGTCAGAAGTCTGTCGAAAATGAGGAGCACAGGAATCGACCATCAACAGCAACTGACAGAATTTGCCTTGTGGAAGAAGTGCAGGCAAAAAAGCTCGAAAATGATTGTTTCGAGCTTGCTGAACAGTGTGATATTTCTGAAGGCGCTCTATACAAAAAATTTTGATAGAATATTTAGACATTCATCGAGTTTCAGCTAAACTTGTTCCGTGATTTTTGTCCATTGAAAAAAATCCCAACCAAGTGTCAATTTCCCTTGAGCTTCTTGAACGTCCTAACAATGATCCTACATTTTTTGATAGGGTAATTTCTGGTGACAAAACTTGGGTGTACGGCTACAATATAGAGACGAAACTCCAATCATCTGTGAGTATTGAAAAAGGTAGTGCAAGACCGAAAAAAGAGCGACAAGTTCGGTCAAATTTGAAAATCGCAGAACACCCATGAGGTTGCCTTACTTCAAGCCACGTACCAACAAAAGCAATTAAGATTTTTCAAATTTGTGAATGTAGCATTCTTAAGTATAATTTCAGCTATCAGGAAAGTCCGAGAAAATTTAATTCCGACGCATGGTGGGCTAATGATCATCAAAATCCAGTTTCTTATTAAACAGACCTTGTAATTTGAAGTAAATTATTTCAGTAAAGTATTATTTATATATAATTATTTCAGTAATAGTTCAGTAAATTATTATTAATTTAACAAATTAATTCAAAATAATTCTACATAATGGAATAGTTTCTTAATCACTTGAATCGTTGTGAGTTATTTTGAAGAACAAATTGATTTCAGGGAATCCTATTTTTTTAAATTTAATTATTATAATTCAAAATACTGATAAACTTTAATCAGCCTGAACATCTGAATTTCTCAATATGGAAGGTTCAAAAGATAAAAAAATCGCTAAAAAAAGAAGAAACATCACTGCAGTTATTTTTATTAAAAATCACACCAAAGAATTTCTCTTTAATGCAACTTTGGTAATGGTTTTTATGGTAAATCAATATTTAAAACTTAATTACCCCCCATAGGAATTACCCCTTTGGGATATTTGAAGCAGTTAAGAAAAAACACTTGGTAAGTCAAAGTGCTCTAAACTAGGTACAGCTTTCCAGCTTGAAAAGACGTAAGCTCATATTTACCTAAATCCCAATCTTTGTCGTTGCGTGCTCTTTCTTTTTCAGCGATCACATACCAAATACAGGCCAACCAATGTGCCACAAGCGTGAATGACAGCATTAACAAAGTTAGAATCATGGCACTGTACTGTGAGTACCGGTCCATTTTTTGGAGTAATCTAGCCAACCTTAGTAACCTAGTTAATTTTAAAAGATGGATTTGACCAGGACTTGGTTCCTGAAAAATAAAACAGAAAATTTCTCATACAGAAAATGATAACCTGTGCATACATAAGTATGTACTTAAACAATGCAAAAGGCGCTATTACTTCATCTGGATTTTTTAAACTTACATCAATTTAAACAGGCAATATTAACTATTCTGGTTCAAATTGTTCTGAGTGTCGACCTGGGGGCAGACAGGCAGGCAAGAACATCCGGTAAAATCCCAGCAGACCCATTTGATATATATTTAGGATAGTTTAGGACCATCATATCTCCTTTACAATGCAATAAACGACTAATATGGATTGGTTCAAGCACAAATTTGGACCAATGTTCCCGCTTACTTTTTTAGTCCCAGTCCAAAGAGCCAAGTCACTGGTCATGCTTCAATTTTGGCAGCCACACTTTGACCACAAAAATTTTCATTGAGCTGCTTCATTTGGGTTTTTGAGAGAATAAACTCCAGAAAAACACAACATAGTTTCCATGAAAATGTTTTTGCCTCCCATGAAATAAACTATGAATGGGCTACATGCATTGTTCTTGGTCCATTAGAGCCCATTTCTCAATACTTTCCCTTTTTCAGGATAAGAAATTCTCTATCCTGCGCATACAGCAAAAGAGGAAAAGTAATCTGAAATGGGCTTTATTTAATTACCTACTTAATGGAAAATTTTCATGCAATTCTTTTATTGCTTCATCTGAAAGTGCTTAGAGAGCTGATATCATGGTATTTTTTATAATTTTTTTTTCTGGTATAGGGAATAGTATAAAAATAGATTTAAAAGTGAGAAAATGCGCCGCCTAGTGACGTCATCTGGCGGCATTTCCCATTTAAATACACGTATTTTAGCAGATTGGATCATTTTGTCATATCTTCTCCAACAATTGTTCAATTCATGAACCAAGGGTACCCTCGTGTTCGGTTCGCTCAGTATAGTTTTGACGTAAACATGAAATTCATCAAATTTCAAACACCTGCAAATTCTCTTTTAGCTTATATACCATGATATTTGCCTACTTATCATTTGTTAATGCTGTTGTGTGATGCTATTACCAACGAGTTCAAATCAAAACAGAGAAATCTGGTGAGTATCAATGGTTCTTTTTCAATAATGTAACTCATAAATGTATCAGCTTTCACATACTGTTTTGGTAATATGATGCTACGATTATACTTACATCTCCACTGTAAACATCGGAAGCATAAAGTAGATCAAAAGGCAGTGCAGCTAAGAGGTCCACGATGAACCAACTTTTAACATAGTGGATTGCTATTAGTTTGGAGTTTGATACTACTTCACCTTTTTTGCTTACAAAAGTTGTACGAAAATTTAAAATAATATCTGCAACAAAAGAAAAATAAATTAAAAACATTCTCTCACTAAGATCTGTTGTCATAATGCCATAATAACACACACAAAACTTCACGAATGATCACGTCCAGCATCTTTACCAAGAGTGATCACTCACTTTGATTAATTATAGATTTGCTCAAGCATTCCATCTCCCATACGAAATGTCCGACTTCAGTCTAAAATGATGAGACGCTCCAAAATTAAAAATTCCTTATCTGAATACTTGGATTATCAAAAGCACTGGATTCCCGGGTTGTTCTCAATTTTACAATCTATGGATTTGCATACCAAGCACTACTAGAGTATAGAGCCTATCTACCTATCTAAGAACCAGGGTGAGTATTTAAAATCTAGGGAGTTGGGCTTGGGGATACAAGAACTTCCCGCTTTGTATGCCAACCTCAGAAGTTTATTCCCGCTTAATTCAAATACAATAAAATTATTTGGCAATAAAATGTCTATGCGTGTATGTATATGGAATGTAAATACTACCACCAGCTGTGGCATGATTGTAGAAACAACTTAATTTGATTGATAAACAACATCTTTGGCCAGCCTAAACTTCACAATTGAAAAAGTGACCATTGAACATACCGACAAATGTCTCTTTTCAGATGTTTGCTAAAATTCAAATAAAGAAATTACAATCTTACCACTCTTGATTTCACACTTTCAGTACTTAAAATCAATTAAAAAATCTGCGTCAAATAAATCAAGGAAAATAGTAGTCAGGACAGTCAGGTCAGGAAATCAGCTTTCCACGTTTGTTTTGTTTACAAACATCGCGTGCTGCTGCGCCTGCGCAATGAGCGCCATGCATTCCAGGCATTTCATGAATGAACTCTTCAAAATAGGACGGACCAATGAGAGGCCAAGAACTCGTCATCGTACTCATCGTAGTATTTGGTAGTGAGTGTTGCCAGATCGAATGAAAAAATGACGGTGAAAGCTTCCTAGGCGGTAAGCCGTAAACATGAGCATACACCTACCCAGGATTTCAAAACGAATCCTGCATTTTCGTGTTTTACGCGCTGAATAAGAACATAATTGAACTGAAATCCCCAGAAGAGTTCTAGACTCCACTCGGACGATAATAGCTCAGCTGAATATGCCTCCGCAGGCCGATATTCTTTTCCTCACGACCGGTTACATCTAGAAAACATCGGAAAACCTAAAGCTAGGATTTCCTCCAAATTCTTAAACAATTATTATTATCTTCGTATTAGGAAACCATTTATGTTTTTGCAGTCACGTTCTGGCACTATTGTGCACGCCGCACAATCAAATTTTGATGTTCATTTCGCCTGCTAAAAACAAAAATTAGACGTTAGTCAATTTCTAAGTTACTTTATTTGTAAAGAAAAGTTAATTTACACGTGGTAGGTGGTTGTAACATGTATTTGAAGAATAAAAAAAAAAAAAAAAAAAAAAAAAAAAAATTTCGCCACACTTGAAATTATAAGGGGTGGTTCAGGAAGAAAATTTTACGAGGAAACCAATGGAACCACTTTTAGAACCTCAAAGTTTTGTATTAACGGAGTCAGAGCTATTGAAGTTTTCAAATTTTGTGCGACCTCTCGTATTGACTCGATCCACCGTGCGCCGGACCATCGCATCGGCCAGAAATAGATCAATCCTGTCCTGCGCATTTCCACGCGAGGCACGCTCAAGCGCGTAGGAAACTGCGTGGAAAGCGAGGAAACCCTACCGCTCCAGTCTAGCGCCACCGCGCATCGCGTGACGAAGCGCAAATTCGAAATCCGCCTCCGTCCCGCTCTCACCGTTCACCATGTCCGAATCGTGTGATTTCAACATGGCGACGTCGAAGTCGCTTCCTAAGGATGCGCAAGTTATTTTGTCAATTATGAAAGAACTAGGGATCAACGACCATGAGCCGCGTGTAATAAATCAACTTTTAGAGTTTACCTACCGTAAGTACAAATCAAAATGTTCATATTACCTCTGTTATTTCGGGAAACACGACTTCACTCAGTGTTCGAGGTTATGTTTACCTGCACCGCAGATGTAAATAAACACTATCATTTTCAATACAATTTTTCTCAAATGAATTTTTCCCATTTTGTTTCTCGAAAATCAAGTGCTGAGAACGTCCTCTATCTCTTTATAGCAAGACATGGAACTTCCTCCCTCCTCGTCAGCTGCAAAGCTGTGAAATTTGCAACGGCGAACACCTGAACTTGCTTAGCGGATAGTGTGACCATTTTCAGGTGCCCCGCAGGGCGATTATTGAAATGATATCGACTCTATGTCGCCGCTTCGTCGTGTCGTGCCATCGACTGAGTGGCTCTCAGTCGATGGCGCGACATAGAGTTGATGTCATGTCAATAATCGCCCCGCTGCAGTACTTTAACTTGTTACCCAACAACGCTGGCATGTATACTTGACTGCAATTCACGTCTCACATTTGAACACCAAATTAAGTTCTGTATCTTGTAAAAGCAGATAGCAGCCCAAGCATAGAATGTGATCGAGGCTCGAGAGAGAAATCATTCTCGCGAAAATATTTGATTCGTTTGACGAAAATGGTCACACGAAAACTTTTACTGTCTTTGCATCGCTCACTGGAAATCTTCTAAACCCACAGCATACACTTGCCAGAAGTTACCCAACGCAATACTCGCAAATTATAAATTTGATATCGACAAGAGCTGTTTTCAAGATGTAGCTTCATAACCATGGCTCCATAAATCCAGCAAAAATTCACATTGATATTATTGCGAGACAAGTCATTCATCTTTTTATCGCAAATTTTACTCTATTTACATATTCGGATCCACCCTTTAGTTAGTTTAAGCTCAGATTTTGGTGTAGGACTTTAATTAATACAATGGGGCCTACTTGTCGAATGTTGGCCATTCATGAAATCCTTCCTGAAACTCACATTAGATAAGTTGACAGTTTTTTACATTTGACTGTCAAATGGAGTAAACAATGTCACTTAACTGCTCTAAGAATTGTTATCACTCGCAGTCAATTTTTAATTGTCATCGGACTGCAACAGTGTAGTTGCGTACTGACGAAAAACAAACAACTGCCAACTATCTGACACAAAATCCATTTAAAGTCCTCTCTCTCCTTCACGCTTAGCAAATACATGAGCCCATGATACTGAGGCATTTGCAATATTATATTTCGTCATTGAAATTGTGCAGTTCACAATATTAGGGGAGGTTCATTAGGTACATGATGCTTTAGGGAGAGAGGGAGGTTGAGGTGAGCATCAGAGCGTAATGCCATTTTGTTCTACTTGTTAAAGGTTTGGGACATGCGTTACCAAAGTGTCACAAGGAAGGAAAAATATTTTAAGAAAGGCTCTAAACTACTCTTTTTTAAGTAGTGATTTTTTTCTCATCCTTTTTTTCTAGGATATGTAACTGGAATCCTGGATGATGCGAGACTGTATGCAAATCATGCAAGGAAAAAAGCCTTGGATGTGGAAGATATTAAGCTTGCAATTCAGCTAAAGATGGATCGCATGTTTACCAACCCACCGCCAAGAGATGTAAGTTTTAGGGTTAATTAAAAATCAAATTGCTCCTTAATAAACAACTGTATTTTTTCTGCATCTCAACTCAGAATGAGTCATGTACCTACAAGGTATCCTAGGTATTAGAAGTTCTGCAAGCACCTGCAGGTTAATCATTGAAACATACGCCGGCATGACAAGGCATCAAAAATTGACTTATCACAAGGTATGGGTAGGACTTTTTTTTATCTCACCATACCTACATAGTTTCAAAAATCAAAACGCCAAACATTCCAATTATATTTCAGTTGCTGCCAATTACGTACCCTAATTTTTTTCTCCTCCTAAATTAATTGCTCTCAAGTTAAATAACTCATCAGTCCTACATAACAATAAGAATTTCGCATCTAGTACGTTGACTGATCCAGACTGTTAGAAAGACTGATCTCAAATTCAAAGCTTACTACCAGTTTTGGAGTGGAGGATTCTTAGCAAAGGCTCATTTTCATCATCTACATTTTGATTCCCTTCCTAGAGGACGCAGAGATGTCAATATTGGTGTTGCTGTTTAAGTAGTATTTTATGGCAATTTTTGACTTACAATTCTTCATTGCCCTTCTGTGCTGTTGAAAATTTTGAGGGATGGGAGACAAAGGAAATTTCTTCAAGGGTGCTGTGGTTTTAATATTTATTTTCTTTTTGAAAAGTTTGTACCTATAGCTATGTTTGTATTTTTAATTGCAGATCTTATTGGAAATAGCACGGGTTAAAAATAGTAGTCCCTTGCCTGTCATCAAGCCTCACTGTGGTGTCAGATTACCTCCTGATCGCTATTGCCTTGCCCAGTGCAATTACAAATTGAAATCCATGTCAGCTAAAAAGGTATAGTACTCCCAGTTCAGCTAGTGGTGTATGATATTGATTTTTAGGGAGTCAAATTGAAAGCTGCCTCCATTTATCAATTAGAAGCCTTGTTGCCTAAAATATTAAAATTTGAGTCAAATAAGGGGAGAAAAAATGTAACCGAAATAGTCCATCAGGTTTGTCGCGCATAGGAACATTGCATAACCACATTGAGCACATGTATGTAGAAATGTTTGAAATACACTTCAAAATGCACAACTGGTATCATCCTTACCACACATTTTGAAATTTTACACAATCGCATCCACTCTGTTCATAGTCGCTCACTATCAGGCTAGCCCAAAAAGAGGCGTGAGATAATCTTTCCCTTAATAAACAAACAACTCTAGCTGTCATGAGTCGTTGTCTCATACAATTTCAGTCAATTTAAAGCATTTGTTCCTAAATTTTTTTAAAGTAGGGAGAAAGCAAATGCTCTAAAATGATTGACTTTGCATGTGAAAAAGATAGATGACAGTCAGCAATATTGTTTGTTTATTTGAGTCCAGTTTCCTAATATCTCTCGCTAAGCAAAGTTGATTGCTAAAATCTGAGAAAAAAGTTCCTGCAGAGGCAGAGAATTTGAAAATGCGTAATACGGGCAGTGCAAACTAACACACCATTTTAGAGTGCATTTTAGTTATTTCCGTTCAGTTTAACATCATTTCATGTACTCTTGCAAAATTTATTCAGCAAGCTGTATCTCTTTTAAGATTTTAGCGTTTGCTAAAATCTTGTTTCTCTTTCTTACATTACTTGGATGCCCTTTGGACCCATGATTGAGACTAAAACAGGTAAGGGAAGCTGCAGGATGCCTCACCTTTAAGGGCAGCTGGGTAATGTGCGAGTGAGGAACAAGTTTTCACCACATGCCATTGAACAGACTTATCCTTCAATTAAAAAATAAATGACAACTGTCTGTGAACATACTCTAAGTAAATCTATTCTGGTTTAAATTGTTCACAATGATGAATACATAATATGAACATTCCAGTTAGAGGACTATCTGGTACTTTTTTTTTTTAAAATTAATTTGTTCCTATTTTTTTCCTTTTAACTTTTTATTTTTTACTTTTACAATATGATTGCAAAGTGGAATCCTGATTTCAACCAGAAGTAAGGTTCTTTGTTTGTAAGTTAACAACTGGATTATTTTCTATAATGAAGATAAAATCATGGTTTTTTACAGGGCTGTAGTACGTTTTGAAACAATCATTTGCTGTGATCTGACGCTTTTGCCTCATGGTCATATTTTCTGTATGCTTCACGGATAGATGTCCAATTTTAAGGCAGAATGCCCGATTTTATGATAAATTGTGAGATTTGACTCACTTCTCTAAAATACCTATGGAGGAACAAAACTAGAAAACGAAACAGAAGGTTTTCCATTTTGAAAATTGCCTCCCGATCCAATATTTGCCTCACATTTGCAACAATCCCATGATAGTGAGAGTGGGCATCTTTTGCACCTGTGGTTCTATGTCATTGTCTAACCATCAATTACAGATGATAATTTTAATTTCGAGTACTTATCAATGTCGTCATTTTTCAGCCAATCAAACCCCTGTCTACATTCCAAAGTTCCTCTTCATTGGGCAAAAGTGGAGCAAGACCTCCTCAAACGCCAACCATGAAGAAGCCTCCTCAAGGACCTACCATCAAAATCGCACCTAAACCTATTGTTAAAGTTGCCTCAGGTAATCCTTCAAGATCTGTCATTAAACTAACTCCAACCAACTTTGATCCTGACCAGCCATTGTTTCATAACAAGTTCCGGCGGCATGGGCCTCGTCTCGACAAACTGCCGCCCTTTGAGAATGTTTTCCCTAATTCATTCAAGTCCTATGCAGAGAGCTTCATGTCCCACTCTTCCTCTCCAAATCGCCTATCTCTAAAGCAACTGTTACATCAGAACACTTCCTCCTATTTTCCTTTCCGGCAAAATAACCATGAAATACATGATTTCTAAGCATTTTCCTCTTATGTAAGGTTCAAAAGCATTATATTTACCTATATTTTAGCTTTAGAATCACTCAAAGATAGTTGATGAAGATAGTAACATGAAGAAGAGATTATATTAAGTACCTAGTTTTATTTTACTTCTGTAGACCTTTTTAAAATTTGAAAAGTGTGTGATTGAAAAAACAGGTCCTGTTAATCGTCATTTTCATCAACTAACCTTCAACCATACATCTGAAAGTCCATAAATTAAGTGATCAATTATTCCTATAAAATTTTGTTTTTGATAATTGTCGAATGTAATCTTAGAGGATGAAATAGAATCATTCATATCATTGTTTCAATGTTAAATGCCCCGATTATAAACGACTTTAAGTTATTTATAACCGTATCCAATCATGTCTTGGTTTTTCCTGATCCTTTCCTCATTCCTTCTTTTTTTTTTTAGTGTCACATCTCAGCATCAAAGGCCAGCAAAATTTTGTGGCCTCCTCTCAACTTCTTCATTTTTTTTAAAAATATTTTTTTCTTCCTTTCTCCACAAGCATGTTTACTTTACCTTTGTGTGCTGTGAATCCCTCATCCTTTTTTGGATCTTACATCTTTGTTTGTGCCCTGTACCATCTTGAATTCTTATTTTGCCTTTGGTAAGTCTGCTATCTTTATTCCAATGAACTCTCCTTTCAGCGCAACCTTGCTGCTTCTCTCTTGCTTTCCAATTTTTTTTTTCTTCCTCATTGGTACGTTTTCTATTTGATTCTGAGAATTGAAGTACAGGGAGGGGGAAGGGGGGGGAGAGTTCGCTTAAGAAGAACATGTTAAATATATTGGGATCTTCTAAAATATCATTAGTGATCAATAAACAGTTGTTGTTAACATTATAAATAGTTAATTCAAACTTCCTGCTCGAAAAAAAAGATGTCAACATAGGCCAAATTTGGCATCAAAATCAATAATTTTGTAAGGCAAATGATCAAAACTTGTTTTCCCTTACATTTCTTTCCCCTTTTGGTACAAATTATCCTTAATGTTGTCAAAAAAAGTAAAATATTCTGAAATGACTTTGCATACTTTGATTCCTGAAGACTCCGATTTTTCTGTTAGCAAAAAGAGTGAATTAAGACTGACAAAGATTATTATTTTCTAACTTGTGAGTTAACTTTGGAAAGTTATGATGCATCCATTGCATTCTAGGCAAAATTTCAATGCAGATAGCTGTAGTGATTTTGTATGATAGCTGTTGTGTAGCTGTGTGTTTTCTTAACAATAATTGTTTGTTTAAAATGTGTAATCTGGATCATTTTAACGTAAAGGTTATGGGGAAATCTTTTTTCTGTAGGTATGTAGATTGTTCCTTTTGAGTGAACTATCACCAGCATCAATTGAAATGAACATAAAATAAAAATAACGCTGCAGAATGATTGTGCCTCATCCTTTCTTATCTTCAAAGTTTTTTCTCTAATTTTTTTTGTTAAAATTTCAGGAGCTGACGAGCTACAGACACTAAAGGACCCTTCTTCATCTACAACATCAGCTCAAGGAAGCTCAGAAGATGTTGTGGTCAAAATGGAAACCGATGAAATCATAGAGACTGTTGTTGTGAAACAAGAAGACCTATGATTGTTTTATAGATCTTAGATCATCATATCCCCTCAATGACTCCATTAAGATTCAGGAAGATATGGCAAGCGTCAAAACATTTTTACGTCTATTCTTTTCCTCTCAAAGAAATTGAAAAAATTGGGAATCTAGAAGAAATTCATGATCTTGAAAATATACAAACATCAGGTAAAAGTCAGAAGAAATTTCTCCAATTATTCTATCAAGATCCAGCTAGGTGTGGCAAGCGGTTAAACGTTTTTGCGATGGTTCTTTTCCCATCAATACAGCTGAAAAAATCGGAGATCCTGGAAAAGTTCACAAGCTTGAAGATATGCGTACGCTTATCAAAAGCCGAAAATAAATGATATCATTATCTCAAGAGTAAAGATGCAGATTATCATGATAAGTTGTAAATACTGTACATATTCCACAGAAAAATCATTGACCTGTTGTTTTTTTAGTGTGATAAGAATACAAAATCTTGAAGAAATTGCCAGGTAATCTGCCAGCTTTAGTAATTAAAATAATCAGGAAAAAGTACAAAACTGTCAGGGAAACAGTGAAGACCTTGCTTCAGTCAAGTCTACACATCTCATGTTAAAGTAGCAAATACGCTGTTTGAACAAGACTACATGAAATTCAAATTGATCTGAAACGGGGTCTTACTGGATTTTCTGTGAAGATATATTAAAAGAACGTCATAAAAATTGAAAGATCACTGTTTGGTAGAAATGTTAACTGGCTAAAAAATAAAAATCTGTAGAATATAACTAAAATAAGTAGAGGTGCCAGAACAACAGTTCTGACTTGTAATAAAATGATACAATACAATCCGTCAGTTACAGTTTAAGGAATTGACATGGTCACTTATGAGCTTATTCATCCAAAAAATGTTTGAATGTTCCTTCAGTTAAGAAACTGAATGTCAAACTTGAAGGTATCCAAAGATAATATTACTTTCTGTTTCTCTTAAGATCATGCTAGAAGATGCCAAAAGGAAGGTGAAATTTCAGAATGATTCTTCTTTGGTGAATAACCTAATCTCATTGGGTTGAAAACCAATGACCCAATACTATGATGAATTAAAGTTTTCACCAGTTATTCTGTATCGTTGCTTTTTATGGAATTTTGTCTAACTCTTTTTTCTGAATTATTTTTTTACTTGATTATTGTAATAAAAATGCACAATTGATCAAATATCAATAAACATTTACGTATGTTCAACAGAAGTTCATATTTTTGCCCACTGTCGTTCGATTCCAAACTCTGCCACATGAATGAATCCCACCTGAATCAATCATAAAATTAAGTTACACAATTTCCTCCTCAGGTACTTATTTCAAGAGTCCCATTGTGCAAAAAAAAAAAAAAAAAAAAAAAAAAAAAAAAAAAAAAAAAACTTTCGAACAGATCTTTCCCCAAGTCATTATCACTAGGGCGATAAACATGTAATTGTTAAAACATGGTCAGAAAAATGGGGTTAGTTGTTTTTATGGAAGGATATTTTAAGGACAGAAAGCTCATTAAAAGGAAGTAGGTATACTCGTGTACTAAAAATGTTGACTAACAGGATGATAACTGGTTCAAAAAGTTCAAAATCAGTTCGGAATTTTTGTGTCACAAATGTTGGCGGTATTGTTTATTCTGAGAGTTATGAAACAAGCAACTTGGAATGTGCATGCTAATAGCTGACGAGAGTTAAGCCTGCTTGGACAGCCATCTTTGTGAATGATTAAGTTTAATTCAAATAATAGCTTTTAACAGCCACTTGAATAGCACTAAATGTTTCTCTAAAGAAGCCCTTTGTTTGTTATGATGCTTAGGTAAAAGCCTAAAAAATGCCCTTAAAATTTTCTGAAGACTTTGGTGAACCCATCGAAGAAATTAATGGCTAGGAGCATGCGACTAAGAAGTACTTACCTAAAATAAATAGTGATTCAACCACTACATCACTGACCATCGACGGACGGTCTGAGTTAACAAAACTTGCATTGTAAGGAACAACGATAGCTACGTAGAAAGTAGCAATGAGAATGAGCCAGTCCCAGCAGCTTTTGAAAACACCATAATGTGACAGTACAAAACAGGACTTCTTCACAGCGGCTGTTTTATACTCAGGCAGTGGTGCATTTAAGAGTGTCTGTAAAAGGGAAAGAAAATAAATCTCATTAAAGATAACAGTAATGCAGCATAACGATGACTATAAAGCAAAACCACATATCTCCGTTTGCGACATTGCAGACTTCCTGCTATAAGTGCTTGGTTCTTTTTTTCAGAAAACTGTTCAACATAATTTTTTGATAACTCCGTTGATTTTTCTTTTCTGTTAGCAGAGTATTTTGTGTAAATTTTAAGCTTTGAAGTTGGTTAATTTCCTTTCGAGAAAATAAAGTAGGAGCGGACATTTTGAAACATCCTAATGTAGGTACGTAGTTTTGCATTTTGGCCACTGATAAATGAGTCAAGCGTTATCGTTTGTCTCCAAGCGTTCTTATCTCTGAATATTCATGATGATCATGCTCCTTAATAACACTCCGAGTAGCCTCCTTTGCAAGACATTTGCAATAGTATTGTAAAAAAAATTGCAATTTTACGGCCTAGCAGGGGTGGCAATTACGCAAACCCTGCCATTCTCGCGAGCAAGTTGAAGTGGTGCGGCTCATTATCACCTTCATACCACGCATGTCTTTGCACCACGCGCAATACTTTAAACGCAAAAAAGGCGCCTTCATTTTTTGTAAACGCAACACAGACAACCTCTGAGTACGAATAGTTGCATTCATCCATTCTAGACAAACTACAGACTCTAAAAGAAGGCGTCTCGTTCCATCTCATTCCCTCGTGATGAAATGGAATCTCATTTATGCACTTAAGGATCTACGTGCAGTTTTTGAGGACAATTTTAGGTACCTATTCATTTTATATTTATTTATGTAGGAACAGAAATAACTTTGATTTTCCATGGTAAAGATGCAATAATTCTCTCATCATTATTATTTAAAGCAGCTTCAAAGCAGTGATAGCTCACTATCAAACAACTGACTCACTAGCAAAAACCACCATAACACTCACTGCTGAATTCTGCTGATTTGGAAGAGCTTAAGATCAACTAAGGCTAAAATCAAACTAAAAAACTCAAATTCGCTTACGTCTAATTGCCAGACTAGTTTCGGGAGCTTCAATCGTCTCCCATCTTCAGTGGTTTTTGACATGGTCAGTGGTCAACAACCACTGAAGATGGGAGACGATTGAAGCTCCCGAAACTAGTCTGGCAATTAGACGTAAGCGAATTTGAGTTTTTTAGTTTGATTTTAGCCTTAGTTGATTTAATCGGTTCGCTGTTTTTTAAATTCGTTCATTGTTTTAATTTTTAATTTTAATTTTAATTTAAGAGCTTAAGATACTCACCCTTTTAGCTTTCGGTTTGTCGTGCTGAAAGCGGTCCGACAATTGGTAGAGGACAGCTCTGCTGCGACGGCGATCACAGTTGGACGGAGGCGGCTCGAACTCCTCGTCTTCATCACCAACTGAAACAAAATTTTAAAAAAAACGGTAAATTACATGTAACCAGCCACTGCCCTGGTAGCATTTTGCACCGATCATATTGAAACAGAGTCACTTTTTTTAAAACAAAACACGCACTATTTCTACATCATTTGGACGTATTTCTATCAAACGGAACTAAGCGCCAATTTGAGTTCCTTTTGAGGAATTTAGAATCCCGGACAGCGCGTTCTGTCAAACGGACCTAAGCGCCATGGATAAGCATTGCGAGTATAGGACGGAATAAGCCGGACGCCCGATTCCGCCGCCAATCCAAGCCCCCCTCTACCTTCCTCACCCTATGGCGCTTAGGTCCGTTTGATAGAAATACGTCCATTTGGTCTATATAAGTTATATAGACCAAATGGGGGGTGTAGTTAGTAGACCAAAAGTTATATAGACCAAACCCTAAACTTGGGTTACATAATATAACCCAAGTAGCACTGTAGCGAGTGACTGCGATAAGTTACGATTTGATCGACGTCGATTTGTTGCAATCTTATCGGATGAAAACTTGCGATTTTATCGCATAAATTTGCAATAAAATCGCTAATCCATCGACGGCGATTTATCGCAATATTATCGAACAAAAAATTGTGACAAATTGAGATGAAATTTCGCTTTAAGATAATCGCTCACATGTCGATGAGCCTAGCAATTTTATCGCCAAAAAATCGCAACTTAATTTAAAAATATCGCGATATTTCCGTTTAAAAATGCTATATAGGAAATGTCGAAGTATAAGAATTGGATGACCAGGAAAGAGATTGCCACTTTTGCATTGCAAAGAATAATTGCAAATAATTTTAATTTAATTGCACTAAAAGGAGCCCCTTCAATTCGTAGTTAGGCAACATACGTATCACTCAAAAGCATTAGCAATAGCAATTATTATTCACGATCACGATGAAATGGAAAGTCATTTCAACCTGCTATGCGCTAAACTTGGGTTAGGGAGAGGCCTATGAAGTCAATAGACTGTATTTTACAGTACCTACAGAACCACCGAAGTTCTCGCTTATTTTAGAAACAACATCTAAGTATGCCACCAGTTTACCATGCAAATCAGACGAGTCCCTTTATGGGCAAAACAAAAATGAATATTCCTTGATTGCAAAATGAAGTTCAATTATAACAGATGAGTAAGTAAATGAATAAGAATAAACACAGCGAGCTACCTATCTCGGATCGGAACGTCATTAGCCTACGGTAATTAAGAATTGCGCTGCAGCACTAATCCACGCCAGGTACTCATTTGGAGTTCCTCATTAGGAACTCCACTTAAGCACTCATTTTTGACAGATTTCCCTTATAACAATGAAAATTCTGCGTGAAGAAAAAGGTTCTGGTGTTTTTTGCCGCGTTCAGGCATTCGTCTTCGGTATTTTACTCAACTGCAATCTTTTCCTTGCCGCAGGGCGTGGGCCCACGCAGGTAAGTAAACCAATGATCACTACGTGGATAAGTAATAAATATGAAGGTTGTCTGGGCTTTTGGATGATGCCATGAGTATTGAACCTTTCTAGCGCCCTCTTTGTTTCGTTGTGGTGGTAATTCTCCAGCCAATGAATCTAAATACCGTATATTCATAAACTATACTTGCATATATTTAAAAATAGAAGCGACTTCTTGTACCGATGAGGTTTGGATACCCTGGTAAAAATTGGCATTAGAATCTGTGTTCCAAAATACCAAAGACCTACAGCCGGCTGTAAGATTTCCAATAGCTTCTATATCCGGCAACACAATTTCTTATAGGTAGCCCTTTAGCCGATGGCGATTAAGCAACAGCCTGGCGATAAAGTGTATGCTAAACGTTGCTAATTACGGTTGCCAGGACTTAGTGAGTTTTTGGACTACCGCTCTCTTTTTGGGCCGTAGTATCTTGATTTATTTTGCGAGGAAAGCTCCGTACTTTTGAAGGATGCCTGACATTCCTAATATGTTGGAGCGCCTTCAATTTCGTATGATATTGCACTGAAAAAACGAGATTAGGGCTGGGCCCTAGAATTGCTTCACCTCCACCGCCACAGGGGCAGGCCCTGCGCGGGTAAGGCCCAGCCCTACCTAGACAGGGTCTAGCTCTTACTAGGTAGGGCTGAACCCTGAAGCAGGTAGATTTGGGATCTACGCGCGCCCGGCCTGCCCCTATGGCGGTGGAGGTGAAGCAATTTTACCTACCCGGTTAGGGCTGGGACCTTCGGTGCAGGTACCAGCCCTAAACTCGTTTTTTCCGTGTGTGCAATACCTCTGGTGTGAAATAGTTGCTTCAAGCGCCGCGGTACGCTGCGGCGCACTATGGTCCGAATAGCCGGTTTAAGCGGCATTAAATCAGATACGTATGTTTAAACCTCGCAATATGAGTTTTCAGGGGTTTTTAGGGTCGCTGAGTGCAAAAATGCTAATATTCTTCAGGAAAAATCCATTTTTAACATTTTTATACTTTATATAACTGTGGTAATAATTTGTTCACAAACCTTAAATTGAGGTTGCAAGTTCGAGTTGAAGCGGTGGAGCAGTTGGCATCGCGTCTCCCTCATCTTCTTGATGTCCCGGGTTCGATTCCCGGTAGAATTTTTTTTTTTTTTTTATAAGTTTAAAAATTAATTTTACATTGGATGGACTATAAAGAAGCTAAAAGTAGAGCCTCGTCAAACACTACTATCAAGGGAACTTGAAAAAGACAGCTCAGGATAATACTTCTACGTTTCATGGCTCCAGAGGCCTACTTTCAAGTCCCACCGATCAGCCGTTTGAACTTGTTTTCGTCTGCCAAGCGAAACTTAAGCTTAAATATATCCATTTTGATAGATTATTTGTTTGAAACATGGGTAAACGTAAAAAAAAAACGTTTACGGGACCTCAAAGTGGCTTCCTAAGACAATTTCATTGCTCGGGAGCCTTACTTTCAAGTCCCACCGATCAACCGTTTAGACTTGTTTTCGTCTGCCAAGCTAAACTTATGCTAACATATATCTACACTGATAGATTATATGTTTGAAACACTTAAAACGTCAAAAAAAAAACTTTTACGGGGCCTCAAAGTAGCCTCCCGAGGCGATTCTTTGCTGTTCTTGAGCACAAAGTTTCAATTGGTCCCGATCAACCCCATCAACTCGTATTATTCTGCCTGGGCAGATTTAGGCTCTAATGCATTCGATTTGCTAGAATATGACAATGGAACATGATAAAAGTCATCGTCAATGGCATATGATAGCTAATTGTAGTAAGTGATAAGAAACGCGAAAACGTCATTTTTCATGAGAAATAACTTGAGGCTATGGTGGACTATGGTTCTGCCACTAGACTAAAAGATAGTCTAGAGTCATGACAATAACTTCCGAGTAAAATTACGAGGTGCTCAGAGGTGCTAAGTATATTTTTTGGGTCCTACTTCTGCGATTTTATTGATAAAACTGACTATGTCTAAGGGTTAATCTAGAGCATTAGATATGATAAAAAAGAATAGTTTCAGCATAAAACATTTTAAACTTATCTTGTATTTTGTGAATCAAGTGCCCAAACACTTTCAGGTACGGTGAAACGACGAAAACAAGCCCTTAAACACAGCACTGCCGCTCGGTAACTGGAATCGCACTCATAAAGTGCTCTGCGCGCCGCACTTCCCAGGCTTGTCACATCTTTATTAGTGCTTTAATCGAAGTGAAATTTTACAGGAGTCTTCTCTACAGTATGTACTATCGATCTACCTCTTAAAATCTAACTTTTTCCAAACTTCACTTTTTCGATTTATTGCCGCTTAAACCGGCTATTCGGACCATAGTGCGGCGCGGCGCGGCGGGCGGGCAGCCAGCGCTGAGCGCGCATTGGCGCCTGCAAACCTAACAGGTATACTTCACGCATTGCGCAATGCGTGAAGTATCGCTGTTAGGTTTGTAGGCGCCGGTGCGCCGCCGCTCCGCTCTGTGTTAGGCTCTAATATTTAATCTCGCAGTCAGCGTTTTTCAACTCATGACTTTGAAATGTTTGCACACTCTGTATGGATTATTCTCATTTCAATTGATGAAAAAAAATATCGACGGTGAAACTACCAAACCACGTATCTCGTTTGCGGTGTTTAAAAATCTCCACTGCCATTTTACTTTTTTGAAGGAGACCAAATCAAGATAATTTCTTGAAATTTTCACAGAGTTTTCCTCGCACAAAGAGGAAAAAACACGGGAGTTTTCAATAATTGACGCTGAGTAGTTTTCCATTTAAAAAATAAAGCATGACAGGAAGTCTGCGATGTCGCAAACCGAGATACGTGGTCTGGTAGTTTCACCGTCGATATGTAATAAAGGAAAATATAATGTGCGTTTTGTAAATATTAAGGTGATTCCGTAGAAACTTAAGGATTTACAAAGCACAAGAATGTTTACTCAATTTCTTATAGCCTTTTATAGCCGATGGCGAAAAAAGCAACAGCCAGGCGATAAAGTGTAAAGCCCGGCGATAGGAACTATAGCCCGGCTGTATAATTTTTTATCGCTTCGTGTAGCCCAGCCGTATGATTTTTTCCACTTTCTACAACCAGCTATATGATTTTCTATCGCCCTATTCAGTCGGCTATAAGAACTCCTATGATATTTTGAAACGCAGCTCCTATCGCCAATTTTTACCAGGGTATCTTTTAGGTCGATTCTTGCGGTTTTTTTTTCGAGCGGCGTGGTAGGTATGTCTTGGGATTTGCAAAAGTCGATCAGATCTGAGCCTTTGAAATTCTTCGAATTTTTAAAGAGAAATAAGAAAGGTTTTGTCAACGTATAGGCGCTTCAGTCTGGTCCTCTTTGTTGCTTTGTGCAGTCATTCACTCCTGTGGCAAGGCGTGGATATTCGACTACTTATCGATATTTCCCCTTTTGAAGCTGTGGTGAAGAATCGATTGTTGAGCAGTTCGTTGCAAACATTCTGTTTATCGATCCTTTTCCGTAGGTTTAAATGACAGATCAATCGATTTCTCGCAAAGCACGCCCGCCTCCGCTCTCGTGGAAGTCATAAAAACCTATCGGGTCGTCTCCCGATATTTTTGGGCCTCATGAAAAATGAAATCCACACGTAGCTACATACAATAAGTGGTACCTATTCTCTTTCCGACCGATCCTATTTTCAAGAGAAGGATTTCTCAGGCTTGGCTATACAAAATTTTAGCAGGCTGGTAGGTATAGGTATTTGTTAGGGTTTTTTCCACATTCAAAAATCTAAGTAAAGAAAAACTTTAAAGAAACGTACATTTACTCGATTTTTGTCAACGCCTTATCTATGATTTTATGCCAGAACTTTAGGCTGACTGCCCTAGATGACTTCATTATTCATTTGTTTCTTATGGACTCAGTTCACTAAACTAATCGAAGATTGATTCAAATCTCTGAATGGACTGTTTTCCAACTCTTCAGCGAGAAAAAAAGGGAAAAAGGAAAATGAAAAAATATGCAAGTGTGTTGACTGCGCGCTCGAATTTTTCCCGCGCATTTTTTGTTGTCGTAGCAGTAATCCGCATTTGAGGACGGCAACTTCGTTATTTTTTTATACAATCAAGGCGCAACTCGGAAAATTGGCAATGTCGCAATAAAAATCGGTGAGTATATTTCGTTGGCAACGCCGGAGGTAAGAAGAACAAGCAATGTGCCCTTAGTTGGTATCAAATGCGACGAACACTTACCAGTTTGATTTCAATTCCTTGGCGCAACTATTCGGGCTACAAGGACGTCCTTATTGCATACACACGGAAAAGAAGGCGTTTTGACTGCCGAGGGACTCACGTTCTCATCCGCGGCGCGGCGTCAACGCAACGGCGGCACGGCGGGCTTATAATCACAACGAGGAACGAAAATGGCAGAGCACTTTCAATTCTTCGTTTGTACTACGAAGATATTTCCTCGGCACGAATAGTCGCACACGGGCGTAGTATGTGAGAATCACTTGTGCTTCAGTTTTGACATCGCGATTTGCAGTGTGCTGCGCATGATTCGTAGAGCAACTATTCGTGCCGAAGGGATGTCTCCGAAGTATAAATGCAGAGTTGAAGCCAATCTATCATTTTCACATCCTCGCAGTAAAGCTCGCAGTACCATGAAACGAGCCTAATTCTCAGAGAGATTGGACATGGAATTTTCGATTAAAACTGCAAATTTTGATGTTTATTCCTTCACACTATAAATTGTATGGGCTGCTTCTGGAAGAATATTTTACGAGAAGATCAATAAAACCGATTCTGAAACCTCTACGGTGCGTATCAACATCGAGTTAAGCTTTCAATGATTCCACACCTTGTTTCGCTCCACTGAGAGCCAGCGCTGGTGAGGTGATTAGTGTCTGAAGTTAAAACACCTTCTTCTCGGTGCGTATGCAACACGGGCATCCATGGAGCCCGCATAGTTGCATCCAGGCGTTCAAATGAAGTTCGTTTAGTATCCTTCGCATGCGACCCTAACTGAAGCTTTGATTGTTTCTAGTAAAATTTGAACTGATTCCAGTGTTGCTAAATGTGTCGACGAAATAACACATCAATGAATTTTGTCGCAAAATTGTCAATTTCCTGAGAAATGCATTATTTAAATGTATTACAACGTTGCTGGCCGTCGAAATCGTAGATAATTTGGGATCTGAGCATGATACGTAGAGTTTCTTTAAACCCACTATAGGTAATGAGTCGTCCTTTCTTGGATTTTTTGGTTTTTTTTATCGAGGAAACTAACTTTGACGTTGCAGACCGAAATTTTCAAAGAACAATCCTGGTGAATCACACGGACTTTGGGGGAAAAACGATGACTATTGGTCTTTCAAAAAATAAAATGAGCGACAGGGAATCTGTATTAGTCGCATATCATTAGATTAAATACGTGTACATGATTTCCTAGGAGAAATAGCGAAACTGGTACAATAAATTCTGGTAAATATATTAGTGCAAATTAAATTATTTTCTGCTCTCACGGAAAAAACTAAACTGCTGATTTAACAATTCAGTTGTTAAAAAAGGTGCGACTGCAATGTTTCAACGTAGATTTTACAACAAAAAAATGCTACTTTGACCACTACTGTGAGCTAATTTAATCACAAAGGTGGTTAAAGTAGCATTTTTCTGTTGTAAAATATTTATTGAAACATTACAGTCACTTTTTTTAGCAATTGAATTGTTAAATCAGCAATTTAATTTTTTCCGTGCTGTTCCTCTTAAAATGTGGGCTGCGATGAATTCCTTATCCTAATTTTCTTATCCCTATTTTTTCGGGTTTTGATACTGAGTTAAAGGATTCCTTCTATCTCGTTTCATCATTATGAATACCACACGGTATCTCCCGAAGAAAAGAACCTGATTGAAAAACGACTAAGTATGAATGCGACTATAAAGTTTCGTTCGCTGAGTGGGTATTTTCATTCGATACTTACTTGCGCTGGAATAAACGAGTAGCCTGAACAAATCGGCACTAAATTTTGACTCGGGTCTCTGAAATTAATTGCTGCAACCTACGGATCTACCAGTAATTCTCAGGGGTTTTGTACCTCGGTTAATTATCGATTCCACTTCAATCCTTTCCCGCAACTCAGAAATTGAGTTTGTTCCCTCAATCCTTTGCAACTAATAATTGCGCGGTAATGCAGAGAGGAAACAAGGCCTAACTTGAACTAGCTTTTGAATCCGCGGCGCTACACAGTGGATCGAGTCAATCAGAGAGGTTGGACATGAAATTTTTGACTGAAACTGCAAAATGTTGATGTTTATTTCGTCACATTTTAAATTTCAAGGGGAACTTTCAGAGGAAAATTTCAAGAGGAAACCAATGGAACCACTTTTAGAACCTCAAAGTTGTGTATAAACTGAGTTATAAGCGTTTAAAGTTTCCAAATTTTACTAATCCTTTGTTTTCTCTATCGGGAACTACGTAAAATTCATCGGGCGAAAAAGAAAGAAAGTAAGTCCAAAAAAAAAAAAAAGTTTCCAAAGAGGTTGTTCCATCCCCCATTAGATTTGGCCCCCTATCAAATATGATCCATCTTTTCNAGGCAGTTGAAGGTTTTGTCTTTGACCCCCCGCCCCCCCTCTCTGGGGGGGCCTAAGTCAAAATGACCGCCATATTTGAACGTCTCGCATGCTACTGTATCACTCCTGAAAAGATGGATCATATTTGATAGGGGGCCAAATCTAATGGGGGATGGAACAACCTCTTTTGTCCGACCTCCCCTGTTAACTCGATCCTTTGTGCGCTAGTCGAATGCCGCGGTGTGGCGGGAAAGTACGGCATGCCGTGCTTAATCGCGGTTGATTATGCAGTGTTTCGCTGGATATATTTGGATTCTATTTGATTGGAGCCTCTGGCAAGCATTTTTTGGGGGAATATGTAGTACTTTGCTCATAATTAAATGTGACTTTACAACGATGTGGCGAACAGATAAGAGGAACTTTACAGAGAATAAAGTTCAGCTACATCAATTTATGAACGAAAGCATCAATTTATAAATTCAAAATATATCCCTTTACCAAACGTGGAGCGGTGATTCTAACGCATTTGTAGTTAGCCTACAATATTCGGTGTATGCAACACGAGCTCTTACGTGGTCGAATAGTGGTATCATTGTCGGATGACACGCTTCCGCGGAACGAAAAATCACTGTAATTGTTGAATAGCAGTGATCGGTCTCTGAAACTAGCGAGGAATATTTAAAATTATAAAAAGTGATATAATTTTAAGGATCATTGATATTAAACAGGTTACATTGATGTAACAAGGTGGTAGTGTTTTTTTTCTCACAGGTTGTATTGATTAGTAACTGTAAGTAAAATATAAAAAATAAAACAAATTCAATGGAAAACTTTCATCAAAATTGAAGTGTTTTGTACCTTGTCTAAAAACCCATTTCGCACTTAAGTTTCAGTGAATGAGTTCGCCAAGATGAAGACCAGTCTACGTAGTTGCTAAATGATAACTTTGCACTAACAATGAGTAAAACAAAAACAAGGTAGTTATTACATTGCGATGCTCTCAAATTGATATATGAGTGGGCCTGCACGTTATATGTTATACACGCATCATCAAAATGCATTCTACAATGACGTATTTGATAACAATAAAATAACGATTAAGTATTTTTTTCGAAGAGGCGCAGTTCTGATTTTTTTTTTGCGCTAAATTGATTTTTCAGCTGCGCAAAGCACTTACAGTGGATTATTTCGAGAACTGCGAGCAGAAGGTGTACCCAGTCAGGACAAACTTCTCATTCGCACGGAATGGCTCGCTGATTATCATCAATGGCGAAGAAATTATTGAGAGGGATTCAAAGGATATCATTTCGGTTAGAACTCTATTACACACGAGTGATTTCATGATTGCAGAACTGGTTTTGCTACCAGTAGTTATGAGAGGTTTACGGATAAAAAATTGAAAATCTAGATGATAAATCAAATATGACGTTCTTGGGTTTGTTTAGGCATACAAAATGAAAATTTATTTTTTAAATTAATGACATTATAAGACTGTTTCTTCTTCCTCTTCTCCTAACTTTTGACTAGGGCCGAGACCCTGTTTGTCTAACCTCTAAATTAGTAAAATATTATGAGACTACATATTTTATGATCAATATTATTATATATTGAGACAATATTTATGAGACTTCAAAGGCTGAAAATGTTCGGTCGCCAACTCCGAGGTTTGAAGCAAAAGGAAAATTTGTCTCAAGAATCCATATAAAATGAAACTTACGATTTTACCCTATAGATTTTAGATTCCGGCTTATTCCACGGCTATTACAGTAACAAAAAGAAATGAGAAAAAATTAAAACCGTTCTGGGTGACGAAAAAATTTAAAAGTTAGGAGACCTTTAAATTTTGACAAAGCATGCACGAGAGGGAGATGAAGGAAATGTAGGTATCAGTCATTAATTTTCGTGGTTACTTAATATTCGAATTTGTATGTTTCAGATTCTGTTCAGGATCGAAAAATGCAAGGATAAGTCGAACCCCGACACGTGCGAATACTATACAACGTGGAAGTTTGATAATTTTTGTGGCTTGAAAGTCATGCCCTTTTACTCACTCGTCATGGAGGCTCACACTCCGCCAATGACCTGTCCTCTAAAGAAAGTGAGAGACCGTATCTTTATTACAGGGGAAAAAATATGAAAATACAAATAATTTTATACTAAATGCATAAGGAACAAAAAGGGGTAAAAACTCAGCACTATCCTGATTTCTAACATTTTGTAGCATTTTCTTCAGCTCGACTTTAAATTTTTAGAGGCGCCAAACGAAAATTTTGTGAAAACAGGTATTAAGCTGATTAGATCGAATTTTACCGGAATGTCTCACGTAATCTTTTTAAACAAAATGAGTTAGGTGTAGAATTGTATTCAACTAATCGTAAATATCCTGTCAAATATTTAAAATCTAGAAAAAATATTTTGAACATAAAGGCAGCTGTTGGACTTTATCCTTACCATGGAGTCTTATGATGGATTAAAACTACAGGCCTATTTTTATTTTCAATTAAAAATGTATGCTAATTGGTGATTTTCTTAAATTTCGGTCCAATTGAAGTGACATAAGGACCCACAGTAATAAGTCCCTTTACACGTTCATGCTGTGTCCTCCTAACAATTTATTCCATATTTAATTTTTCGATGGTAATCTTAGAAGAAAATTCGAATGAATCACAAAAAGTTCTATGGTTGGTTTATTCGTTGTTAAAGTAAATCGCACGACAGAAAATCTGTAAAATGTTGTGTGTTAAGTTACTATTTTCCCATTTTTCCACTTCCACTATACCAGTAGGTATGTAGCCAAGAAACCTACTAGTCAAATTTATTATATCTCAGAATTGTCGTGATAGTCTTCAACTAATGTAAGACTATGATTAAATCGTGATAAATAAGCTTTTAAAAAAAGAAAACCATCCATTACCTTTTACCTCTCATTTGTCGTCATTCGCTCTATATCATGTATTTAAAAGTGCATTCTCAACTTAATTTAAACCAGAAAATGTTGTAATTTTTTCATTCGTCTTTTGCTCCAGGGTCGTTACGCGGTGAAAGATGCCAAGATAGAGTCTGGTCTTGTTGCGCAATTTTTGGGCCGCGGCGAATCGAGCAGAGTTTTGTGGAAATATCATATTGTCATGCGCGAGAATAATCAACCGATAACTTGCATAAATCTCGGATTTAGGATTGTTGATGTGCGAATTAGACACTGAAATAAATGCGATGATAGTTGATAATTTACGTCGTTTTTATTTCATACGCATTTTTTGCGATATTATGCAGTGGAGTGCTCGTTAACTTAAGGACTTTGAGAGGATTGAAAATTAGGGCGGTTAGACGCCGCAGAGTGCCAGCAAGCCATGTGAAATCGGCCTTATGTGCGTAGAAAGGAAAAAATAAGTAAGCATAATTTTGCGTGAAATTTTCGAAATTTATTCTTTCAGAGCTAGAAAAAAGAGAGGCAAAGCAGCTCTGCAAAGGGCTGTTGTTTTCTTCTCATGATTTAAAATAAAAGGAAAATTTTTGATGTCAAAATCACTCATTCGTGTGTTCGGACTTAAATTGTAAAAAAAATCGTTATTTTGAAGCCATTGCCTAATTTTCATTACACGCCTAAATTTGAAAAAATCTGGATTTCAATCACGGAAGTGGGATTGTTCGTTAAGGGGGACAGGGGAGCAAAGTGTGCCACTGTGTCTGAAACAATGAAAAAGTCTCATTCCATTGGTACAAAAACAACCTCTTTTCCGCCTAGCTTCGCTCTATAACTTCATAAAATTAAAAAAAAAATACGCTTTAATGAGGTCAAAACCTACTTGGTGAGTTCTTTCATCGAGAGAATATCAAAATAATCCTTCTAAAAGTTGTGCTATGACTATGAGATATGAAATTGCGTGTGGATATCGATTAACCGAGATAATTAATGAACATTGACGATGCGTGAATGATCGATTATCGATATTTCCCGATTTGAATAAGCTGGTGAGGAATCGATTATTACCAAGTTCTGTGCAAACCGCCCGTTTATCGATTCTGTTCCATAGGTTTAAGCGGTAGATCCATCGATATATCGCAAAGTACGCCACGCTACTGTTAATGGACTTGGCGGCCTGGCATGATCGCAAGATTCGACTAAACGATTACTGGATCGCATAACGTGTGAAATAACTAACTTTTTCGGATAATTACACAAACAACATAAGTGCTATCCGTTTCCTTATGCAAGCACATGCTTTTATAGGTAAACGAGATAAAGTAGTTTCTCATTGCGTGATGCGGTCTAATTGAGAATGCTGATTAATTGGACACTGCCGAACGAACCTGACGTGCTCACGTGGGAAAGTTATGGGACTACATCGTATTTCCGTATCGTGCTAAGAGTATTTACAAAATGGGCGGTTTTTAAATGTCCTTTGAGGTCAGCTTGCGTCATGTGCGCTGTCTTTTTTTGCCTCTATTGCTTGTGACTTACTTTTCTGCAAAAGGCATGAACAGCTTACTTAAAGCATGTGGTTTTTGCTTCATTTCATTTTTCACTGGTATGTTTTTGGACCTCTTGTTGGACAGCACGCTCCCTCTCGCTGAAGGCAGCCGCAATTTTTTGAGGGTGAGATCAATCTAATTGATAATTAACAATTAATTTTGCAGTTACGTTGTACCGGAAAGTATAGAATAAAAAATCTTAGGATATATTCACACGTACTTCATTGAAATCAACCGGTAAAATACTGTACTTAAAGGAATCTTCAACTTTTTTATCATCCCTCCTTGTATAGCGAAATTGGACATATTTATGCTAAAAGGCACCATGCGGCACCAATCAATAAAATCAAGAAAAACTGTGAAACACGCAAAACCTATGTTCGTAGGTCCTTTTGATTTAATTTACTTTCGCATAGTTCTTTTTCGCATATTCGTTCAGCTGTCAGCTATTTTAGACTATTATGACGTCGTTTTTGTGTTTAAAACTTAGAATTTACCAAGATTGTAAACTAATTCCATTCTACACACCGATTGCAGTTAGCTTATAATCGGGTACTCAGATGATGTACCCTTCGCACTTCGAATTCCAAACGCTTCAGTGCGTCCACCTAGTTTAAAAAAAAAAATAGTCAAATAAGTCAATAACTTGTTATCTGAGAGCTTATTATCTACAAATTTATTGGGGAAAGCATATCTGTATCAAATATGTAAAATTTCACGTTATGAATTGTCACTTCTGGAAGTTCAGACATCATTATACATGAGTTTCACCAGCTTGATTTCCATTCTGTTGCAGCTAAGGAAAAATATTGTGGTGGATTATTTTGAAAATTGCGAGCAAAAAATCTATGCATTCAGCCCTTACTTCAAATTTTCTCGGAATGGCTCGTTCACGATAATCAACGGCGAGGAAATCATCAGCAAGGACTTCAGTATAAATTATCCAGTTTCGGTCAGAACCCCACAATTCAACCAGTCAAGAACTTACAACTCATTTTAATCTCAGAAATGCCATAAATTAGTCTGAGTCTATGCTTTCTGAAACTGTGCCATTTAGTATCGTAAAGAATCGCGCTTTTATCGACGTCAATTTATCGCAATATTATCAAACCAAAAATTGTGATAAACATAGATACAATTTCTTTATTATCAATCGTCATTTTATAGAGATAATTTTGCGACAAGATCGGGGATATAATTGCTCAGATGTTCCGACCCAAGCGATTTTATCGAAAAAATATCGTAAAAAATCGCAACTTAACTTCAAAGAAACGCAATTTCTTCGATGAAAAATGCTTCTAGGGGCACATGTCTGCACCGCATAGAATGCTGTCGACCTGAGGTTAAGAGTAGAGGGGAGAGCAGGAAGGAGTTAAGAACCCTTAACTGCCGTAGGTCTTGGATGAAGTCTTGAATGGTTTATGCATGCTCACTATTAGGATTTTCCAGCGGCTTTAGTCAAGAGACCACCTCCTATTGCGCATGCATTCTTATTTAGTACATCGATAGCTGAAGTTAAAAAATACAAACCTCCATTACGACGTTTGAGAATCTTCAATCATGTTTTAATTTTTTCAAAAAATTACTAATCAAAATACCTCCGTGAAATAATTTGCGAATATTCTTTGAGAAAATTCACAGAAAATTTTAAGGAAAAGTAAGGATGAAATACAATTTGAGCGAAGATTTGCAACGTCGTAATTTGAGAAACGTATTTTTTTTTCTGAAGTTACCTATATATTTTGCCAATCCTGAAGAATTGCACTCGAATATATATCGACGGCGTAAGTCCGCAATCATATTATATCTCGTTTGCGGTGTCTGAAAATCTCCGCCTCTATGTTGTTTTTTAAGGGAGAACAAATTGACATAATTTTTTGAAGTTTTTGCAGAATTTTCTTCGTACAGAGAAGAAAAACCACGGCAGTTTTACAGAATTTCCGTTGAGTAGTTTTCCGTCTAAAAAATGAAGTATGACAGGAAGTCTGCGACGGTCGCAAAACCGAGATATGTGATTGCCAACTTACACAGTCGATATGCCTATCGCGCCGACCAGCGACCGCATTGTTTGGCGCAATGCGTGAAGTATTCGTGCACTCTTGCAGGCGCTCATAAGCGTTCCGCGCCGACCGCGACCGCCGCGGCGGCCGCATCATGTTTGGTGAAATTAGAAACGATGGTACGGTATTAGATTTGAAAGAAATTGTGGAAAAGGGAGGAGAAATAATAATTTTGAAGAATGGCTGGGTAAAATTGATGAAACGATTCATGCAGAGTGCAAACTAAAATATTCGCAAAAAGAGTCAAAATTGGACGTATTTCTGTCAAACGGAACTATGTGCATTATGACGTGAGCCCTGTTATGCAAGTAGTATTATGGATCTCAGGGCTCATGCCTTAATGCACATAGTTCTGTTTGATAAAAATACGTCCAATTAATCCAGCTCTCAGTAGACTTTCTGTTCGATTGCGTTCGCTTCGTCTTCATTTAAATTAACTAGACGTAGATTGTTTGTGAATATCTGTTGTAGGTTCAATTCGTGATCGAAAAGTGTTCAGATAAATCGAATCCGGACACGTGCGAATATTACACCACGTGGAAATTCGACGATTTTTGCGCTTTGAGACTGATGCCATTTTTCCCCGCTTTCCTGGAAGCTCACTCGCCACCCTTGACCTGCCCTTTCAAAAAGGTGCGAGCACCCCATTGTTTTTCAGGAGCAAGCTTACGGATAATGCGTGATATGCTCTGCAATAAATCGATTAATCTGAAATTTGAACCTGTGGAAAAAGATCGATAAACACACGAAGAAAAATCTATGGCTTGTAAACCAATTGGTGGTTCATAAGGAACACCACAAATAGTAGTGAAGGCAGCATATAATAATAGTCCACCTTAGTTATGGTATATATCGACGGTGAAACTACCAAACCACGTATCTCGTTTGCGGTGTTTAAAAATCTACGCTCGCATTTTATTTTTTTGAGGTAGACCAAATCAATATCATTCCTTGAAATTTTCACAGAATTTTCTCCGCACGAAGAGGAAAAATCACAGAAATTTTCAAGTAGTTTTTCATTTAAAAAATAAAGTATGACAGGAAGTCTGCGACGTCGCAAACCGAGATACGTGGTTTGGTAGTTTCACCGTCGATATACCATACCATGGTACGAGCTACCGCAGCATGGTTCACAGACCGATAATCATTAGTTTATAAACAACTATTAATGGTGCTCCATTTGATACACTAACTGATTTATAAGCCGTAGCTTTTTCTCAGTGGCAGGGTGTTTGAAACGAGCGTCTTAATAATCGATTCTATACCATTGCTTCAAATGGAAAAATATCGATTATCGTTCATTCACGCCCAAGATAATGAAAATTGAAGTTTCGATCCTATGCTCAATCATGAGTGCTACCTCTATTTTGTTTTAGTTATGCGGATTTGAGGTTCTATGGAAAATGCACCACTGAGTTTCAGGAGGCCCATTTTAATCGGTTTTTGGAAAAGTGGTTCATCACTGGTAAAATTTTGAAAATTTACTGCTCGATTGCGGCAATTAATAATTTCCGCTTCTTATCCACATGTTCCAACACAGTGTCACTGGGTATTTTAATTCGAAATTGTCAGAGAATGTTCTTACAGGCACAAAAAAAAGAAGAAAATCAATAGAAATATTACGTAACAGTCATGTTAAATCGGACAGATTTAACCACAGTCAGCCCGGCTACATTTCACTTGTTAGTCAATTTTCTCTTATGTATTATTTTTTTTACGAGAAAATAGAGCAGCATATAAGTCTGAACTTCTTCTTAAATTTCCTTCTCTTGTATAAAATATGTTCTCAAAATCTCGTGGTAACTACAATTTCTGTGCTTTTCTCGTAAAGAATAAAAAAATAAAATAACATAAATGAATAAATGAAATAAAACACAAGAAAAAATTTAGGTAACCATCGTGCAAGTAGACTGATTTTGGCCACACCAGTTATTCTTCAAATTTAACAGAAAATACGCAATGTTACACAAATTGAGATCCGGAGGATCAAGATTTTCATCTCACAGAAACTGTAATACATGTATTTCACAGATAGAAGAAACAGATATTTTTAATTTTCACACATTACTTAAGCAAACAATTTAAGAGAAAATGTGTGTTACGTTATAGGATTGGCCGGTACAAATATTTACCAAAACTTTGAATAGCTTAAATTGAGCGCAAAGTTTGTCGCGTCTTATTTGTAAAAGTCACGTTAAGCTTTTTTCTAAAGTTTAAGAATACAAAAATTATTTTCTCAGGGTCGTTACATGGTCAACAATGCAAGGATCGATCCTGGTCTGGTGGCCCGTTTTTTGGGTCATGGCGTGTCGAGTCAAGTACTGTGGAAACAGCGGATCCTTTTGAAAGAAAAGAATCAGCTTGTCGGATGCCTGAACCTTGGATTTCGGATTGCCGACATGCGAATCAGATCCTAGAATATGAACCACAGCAGTATAATCCCTAAAGAAAAACGACGTATAAACATCCTCATGTTGCCAGATTTTCTTTTGTGAAACGTTTCTTTTTGAGGAATGTATGACTATGTTCTCTGTGAAATTTTCAGATACTGGAGATTAAACTTAAAATGGGTTTGTTGCACGCAACAGAAACAGTCAAATAATAATTATACTCTTGACGGGTTTTACACGAAAATCACGCTGGGCCCGTTAAAAACTCTGATCTCCATTCCTTAGCGCGCAATCTGCGTTAGTAACACGCTTTTTCAAGTTTCCCGCGTCTGCGGGCAGTTTTTCTCAGTCACCGCCGACCTGGGTTGCACAGGCAGAGGAGTAAAAAAACTGAACCGAATAAACTAAGTAACGATTTCACCGACTTTTTCTGTTGTATGATTTCAATCGTTTTCAAGCGTTTGTTTCCTTTTTCTTTCTTTATTTTGCAAAAATAAAAGCTTTTGATCAATTAAAATCTTATGCGAGGAGAGTTTATAAAAATTCGCGATATTGTTTGTTTATTTAGGTTAGGGTCCTCCCCGGGCAAACCTGACAGCCGGCCACCAAGAAAAATTTTCCGCATACGCGGTAAATTTAAAACAGCGTGGATCTCTAGAGAAAAAAACGTGAAAAAGCGGCTGTATCTCTTGCGTGCATTAGGCTGATTTTGGTAATTTCTATCCAGTCACTCTTTCAAATTTAACAGAATACTCGGAATTTTACGCCTTCAAAATGCGAGGTATCAAGCTTTTCATTTCCCAAAGGTTTAAGAAGGCAAACATTATTTTCTCAGGGTCGTTACGTGATCAAAGATGCAAGGATCGATCCTGGTCTAGTGGCGCCATTTTGGGGTGGCGCATCGAATCAAGTATTGTGGAAACAGCGGATTCTCTTGAAAGAAAAAAATCAGCTTATCGGATGCCTGAACCTTGGATTTCGGATTGTCGACATGCGAATAAGATTCTAGAATATAAACCACAGAGGTATAATCGTTATGAAAAAACGACGTATGAACATCCTCATGTTTTACTTCTAAGTAAAATTCCCTCTCAATTAATGATATGTCATATAGCCAAAAAAACATAATTTAAAATTAAGTCCTGGCAAAATTTGTTATCCCATGCATCAAATCCACTCCAGAAAGATAATAAAGGTAAATTAAAAATTATTCCGTGACTCTTTCGTCATTTTTCCTGACATTTCCAGGTTTTCCCTGACATTTTCCGGTTTTCCCAGTATTCCCTGACTGTGGCAACCCTGCATATAGGTATTTTAGCATTTACTTGATGCAAGCGATCATGGAAACTTCAAACAGTCCTTGCGTCAAACTCAACGGTATTAAGACCCTTAAGCTGTCACCCGATTTGCTATTCATGGCCGACGACGGACAAAAACCGTGGAGGCGGAAAAGAAACAAAAAAAAAAAAAAAAAAAAAAAAAAAAAAAACAAAGCTGCCGCGGGCAACATTTGTGGTTGATCACTATCACTGATCTCGATGCTTGCACACAGATCACACCTGCTATTAACAGGGTGATTAATTTGTCAACGGCCAGGCTTAGCAGCTTACCAGGGGCGACACCTGATATCGAGTCAATCGCCGCACTGGATGAGCATTCTGCCTGCTGGGATGGTGTTCCCTGGAAGTAAACTGACGCTTTCAATCATTCTCATCATCAATACCGTGTTCTGGGAATTGGTCTTCTCCGCAGGAAACCCTCTTTTTCAGGTAAGACGTTCATAATATGTTAACGGTTGCGATGCAAAAATCGAGTCTGTACCTTACAACATTGTTTTTTGTTTTTAGGATTTGCGTGGCCAGGGTGTTGAGAATGTTAACGACCTCATTGAACCACTGTACGTATAACAATCTCACAACTTAAAAAAATACTAGGGGGCTTTTCTCTGACCGTTACGCGTCTCAGGCGTTATGCGTTATGCGTTACGCATTACGCGTTACGCGTTACTCTTATGAATTTATATTACAGAGTTTGATTTGTAAGCAAATGGATATTGAATTTTAAGTGACAGAATGGTAGAATAGTGCAAGATTGACCCTACCATCTGAGGGGCTTGGAGGACAAGGCGCGTAAGTGCAGTTTTTGCAACTTCGAGAAATATATGTGTGAAGTTTCGGAATTACATGGATCTCTATGGTGGAAAGAAAGTTCAAACTGACTTTTTGATGCTTTGAAATTGGAATTTGGGAGCGAACTTTTCACAGAATATGCATTGAGACTAATTTTACTTGAAATCATCAATACAGAAATTGTTTCAAAAACTGCACTTATGCGCCTCGTCCTCTAAGGCCTTAAATTATCAAACGATTGTCATATGCGCAGTCGAAGAATATGAAATTAGTGGTTTTACTCGTGTTCTCAGAACAGGAAAGTGCTCAACGTGTTGCATTTTGACAATTGCGTTGGTGAAGAGTATCCCTTCAAGTTTGTTAAATGGTCCTTCATCCGGAACAGGACGACAATCATCATTAACGGGGAAGAGATTATCACAAGGAACATAGATGAGCCGTTGACGGTAAGTACATGGCTTTGGGCTATTACGAGAAACTGATAATGAGATGCGTTGAAAAAGCTTGTGGTTAAGGACTGACAGTTTCATGAACTATAATTATTTTGCTAGAATTCGCTTCTAGAACCCTTTCTCTCACTTACAATCAATTAGTATCTGACTTGTTTCTGTGACAAGTTTTAAGGCACAATGGTAGGCCGATTTGATACTAATTTTCCATGATGCCTGATTTTTCATTTTACGAATGATACCTCGAAAAAAAAAGAATGGTGACATCTACTATAAGTCTACTTGTTTTTTACAAAGTGATACCATTTAGTGAAAATAACCAGAATTATGGTAGTATTCACAAGAACGTTGCTTATACTTACCATAATGGTAAATGCTACCATAGAGTCTGGTGTTTATTACCATTCTCGTAACACTGTGTCAGAGTTTGATGAAATCTACCATATTTTTTTTCAGTGTATTTTTCGGGGGGTCGTGCAGCTTGCTTCTAGATTTTGGCGACAACTTTATACTGAAAAAACAGTTCGGTTATGGTTATGAACTGTGAATTAAAGTAAAGTTCCTATAAATCGTAATTTAAGTTCCTATATTAGCTGTATACTATTCGGTGTATGTAACCGTACTGTAGATCCTAAAAACCATAGCCTCAGTTTATGTGACCAAGTTTTTTGAGTTTGGTTTGATTTGAAACCTTAGATGCATGAACTGAGGCTGCGGTCCCTAGAATCGAAAAGATATTTACAGGAACTGTATAATGCGGCCAATATAGAACATCATACTTTCAGGCTCATATGACAGAAATGTTTTCCAAGGTTTGAATTGAGCCATTGAAAAGTTTAACAGGTTCAATTGAAATAAGTGAAGTTTTCAAAAAATCTTAACAGGAACATTAATGCGCTTGCAGATTTTCTATCGGATTGAGAAATGCAACGACAAAGCGAATCCTGATACTTGTGAATACTACAACACATGGAGATGGGACAATCTTTGCACTATGATGAAAGTGCTGCCATTCATTTCTACGATCCGTAACCTTCACACTCCACCTCTTTCGTGCCCATTCAGGAAAGTTAGTGTTCCGCCAGTACTTATGCTGCTGTTATGATGTATTTAATCTATTTCTGCACCCAAAGGCAAAACTAAACAAGTACGAGTAGTTAGGGGCTCGAATTGTCTTGGTAGATTTGCGGTAGGTAGCAAGTTGAGGCATGAATGTTGACTTTGTTATTTGATCGCCGATTAATGGTTTGCACCGTTGAGACATTAAAGGAGGCTGGCTTGAGTAGTGACAAAGCGAGAATGATCGATTTGAGCTCCTTTTAAAGCTGTGAAAAATAATCGATTATTAAGGTGCTCGTTTCGAACACTCTATTTATCGATCATCATGCATAGGTTTAAAGGCAGATCAATTGATAAAGCTCAAAGCACGCCACATCATTGAGCTCAAGCCTGATGTGAAAAAAGCTCAACTTGCGTACAGCTTGAGTTTACAGAATAATTTCTTTAGTCGAATGAAGCGGTTTCGTTTCGCAACTTGCGACGGTAGGACTAGGACTTGTCGGTAGGATCATGAGTCCCTTTATACTGAGAGTTAAAACAATAGGAATCCATTTCTGATTGGTTCCCTTATTTTAGGTGTCCATAGTGTCACGAACGGGAATGAAGATTACATTTTCACCAATTGCAAAAATTATAATCTGGAATGGACCGGGGAATCACGGGTTTGGCAAGGAACAAATGGAATAAGAGAAGGAACAAAGAAAGGACTTTGAGAATGAGCCGATCAAAGATTATGAAAAACTTTCAATTTGTGTAATCTTTATTCCCGTTTGTGACTCCATGAGGGGGGGGGGGAGGCTGTCTTAACTCTCAGTATAAAGGGACTCTAGTAGGATCATGAGTCTACGTTATTGACACAACGTCACGAAAGGGAGCCTCGCATATCATTTCCCCGTGTTGTCACACTTAACGTCAGAAATCTGACAAGATATACGGATAGACGTAAGATTACCCCGCACCGAATTCGCGTGACTTTTCTCACCTCAAGTGGCACTTGAGGATGATTGGAGTTGGAAGAGTGCATGACTGTGACGTAAGCTGGCACTTGAACATGATTGGTTCGTCGGCTAAACAGCTCACAGAAAATTCGGACGCGACTGTTGGCTGACACACCAAATAATTGGCTGCTGATCCTTTGACATCTGGAGATGATGCTTGCCGTTCCATACTTTAGCGTGTCTCACACACCACATTTTTTCATTGTACATTTTAATGCCAAATTTGGCTGGCTGAGCTGCATAGAACATGGTAAAATGATGAAAAAAATCGAGCTACAAGCCAAAAATAAATTAAACAAGTTATTTTTGGCTTGTGGCTCCATTTTTTTTAATCATTTTACCATGTTTTTTCTTTGTTAGGGCAAATGGAACTATCTGTAAAATTTACACAGTTGTGGTTGAACGACGCCGTCATTAAACTCACACTATCTGTAAAAGCTGAGGTTTTCCAGTTGCATGGGTATACAAAACTTATATTTTGGGTAATGGTAGGAATATCAGATCCAGTTGTCCCTTCACGGATTTTTAGCGCTGAATCCCAAAATTATGTACAACTGTTTTTCTCCAACACATTAGGAGTTTCCAAAGCATCAAATTGCTCACGAAAAATCCTGTTGTCTCGGGATGTTTCGATTTTCCAGGAAATCGTTACGTGATAGAGTAAAACTAAGGGGCTGCCCCCTGGCCGCTACACGGCCCAACCCCCAGTAATAATTCTCGATCTGTAAACCATACTAAGGTATCTCGTACCATACTAAGGTATACATACCATCACTAAGGTATATGTGCTATTATTATAAGTTGCCTTTACTACTATAGTGGTGTTCCATATGAGCCACTAATTGGTTTATAAGCCATAGCTTTTTCTCAGTGGCTACGCGTTTGTGTATTTAGCGGTATCATTCAAAATAGAATTGAACGAATAAGGAAAAGTTCAATTCGCATACATTGCACGGACATCGCAGCATCGACTGCTTGCAGACATTTTTTATGAACTTGAGAGTTGATTTAAAGGGGGAAAAATTGTTGTTTAAATTTTACACAATCCCCTCTTACAGGAATCCTATCAACTTTCTGATGCATGCCATTTTTTACACAGGGACATTATTACGTGAGGAATGCCAAGTTCGATAAATTCTCTCTCCTGCAGTTTTTGCAGACAATCGGTAACAACAATCGAGCTATGTGGAAATTTCGGATGGAGATATATGAAAAGGACCAAATTGTCTGCTGCTTGGATTTCTCTATTCAAGTCGTCAACTTCAGAACAAAAAACTCGCGAGGAAATACGTCATCTAGTCATACGCAAACAATTAGAAAAGCAGATTTTATTTGATGAGGTACCCCTTCACTTATATTTTAACTCCTTTCTGGGAAGGTCCTTTTACCAGTGGCGTGGCGTGATTTGCGATGTATCGATTGATATGCCGTTCAAACTCATGGAAAAAGATCGAGTATTTGGGCGTTTGCGACAAACACCATAATAATCGATTCTTTACCACAGCTTCAAATGGGATAATATGGATAGTAGATTAACCCTCCTCGCCACTGCTTAAGTGCTTATTACCCTTTCACAGTTTTTCTCATCGTCGAGGATTACTAGCTTTTTTCCTATACCGAATCAGTGACGCGGCGTGTATGCTTTGATGTGTCATTTGAACCAATGGAAAAGGATCGATAAACAGGGTATCAATTATCAGGAACAGATATCAGAAACACCTTGATAATCGATTCTTTACCATAGTTTCAAATGGAGAAAGATCATTCATGCCTTGCCAGTAGTCACTTTGCCGAATGTAGACAGTTACATGTATATATGTCGCAGGCAAATAGTGAAATCAGGCATTTAGTCAAATGCCTAGGCTGATGGTCAAATTTTGACGGTCCACAAAATTTCATGAATTTATGGCGAAGAGCTCACGATTTTTTACTATTTTTGGAAAAATAACTCATCAAACCTACGAACTCTTTTGGTCTCTTCCTCTTCAATTGCCTCTCATATTTTCAAATGTTGAAATTCCAAAACTTCTGTATTTTACGACCTGCTGAAAATGTCAAGATCAGTGTCTCTTCAGGAGCTAACAATTGTTTAAAATACTATTATGTGTGCAAATTTTTACTGAGAATTTTTTTCTTTTAGGAGCAATGAATTATTTTGTCCGAAATTAGGACAAGCATCAGAATTTTAATCTAAGTTAGAATATTTGACTATTTGCCTAGGCATTTGACAAAATGCCTGATTTTGCTATTTGCCTGCGACATATACATAAATTAGATTTCAGAATATAACCTGTAATTAAACTTGATATTAATGTTTTGCTTTTAAATTATCATATTTTAAGTTTAGTCGTAGATTCTGAAATGAAATAATAAACTGTAATTTTAAATCATTCCACTTAGAATCATGCGTTTTAAAAACTGGCCATAGAGAGTGTATGTCAATACAAACTTTTTTTTGACAGTGGCTAGGACAACAATGTTTTTGAAACAAATAAGAATTTTTCTTAAAAAACGTCGATAATTTTTCGTCCGAGATTTATCAGGTTAGCAGTAAGTTGCCCTTAGAATATTCATACAGGCCATAATTAATGATGATAATGATGCCGTCGCTGGCATTATCGGGTAATTAATCAAGTGCTGGTACTCACTAATTAGGTGCTGAATATACGCAGCAGAGTGCCGCCTGATTTTTCTGGTCCATCATCTGTCACGGCGGTATGTTTATTTGGCATTGGCATGATTTTTTTGACGCTCGCAATTTTCTGCACGTCTTTGTTGCATCTCGTTTCTTCAGCAAGAACTCCAAAATTCCGGGTAAGATGTTAAGATGAATGATTTCATTTCTTTATCAATAATTGGACTGAGTTAAGCAGAAAGGAACCAACCCACATTTTGGAAAAAAACTAAGTTATGGCTGGTTTTGAACTCAACCACTTCTCTACTATCTATCGCCAAAAATTCAAAGTTTTTGTTGGAGCAAATTTTGCAGAAATTGAACTTGAAGATTAACTTTTACATTAAGTCTTATGCAGGAGCTAAACTTTAAGTCTCTTTTTCTCGGTTCGATCCCGATGTGGCTTGGTTCCTTTCTGTTTAACTCCGTCCAATTAAAGGCTCCGCAGCGTTTCAGTTTTAAGCTATATTGTCAGAATTAATTTACAAAATCGATGTAGATTTCGTTTACTCAGTAGGATTTTTGCGATGTATACAACTGTAATAAAAGAAGGATAAATCCAGAAGCATGGCCCTCAAATTTTTTAGTAGGTTAGTAGACGATGGTGAAAAAACTAAATGACTGCGTTACGTTTATTCTGTTTACATCACGTGGAATAATCTGCAATTAATGTCAACGTGACTTCGAAATTCGATCAATCATAGTTATTGAAACTTATGTTGAGCAAAATTAAAAAATAACGATGCTATCAATACGTTTTTTATTTCTTCAATTTGAGGGACGCTCAAGATTGCAGTCGCCGTTGTGGAGCGTGAGTGCCATTTATTTATTAAGGAAGTTCAACCAGGAAACGCGCGAAAAAATATTAGACGCAAGCTTTTATTGACTGGCTGGCCGTTACTTCCTTGACCAGCTGTAAGAATTTACTTTGGATTTTGCAGACAATTAGCCAAACAATACTATTACATTTGAAATAAATTAAAGTGGGAAATAAATTACACGAATTCTGAAAATATTTAAACTTTATTGCACGAGAAAGTGGAATCGCTATTTTCGCCTTCAATTCGCCGGTTAGGCAAAATGACTGTTCTGACGCACGAATAGTGGTATCATGGATTTGCAAATAGAGTTCGCAGTCTTTCGAAGGCGTTTAAACATTTGAGCTTCATTTTTAATTCAAAAATAACTTCACTAAATTTTCCAGTCCGTCGCTTTATACTTGCGGAAATATCACGGTTGCGCATTCCGATATAGTATGATAGGCTGAACGCGTTTGAATGTATATAGGCTGTCCCATGATGACTGTCAACCGGTCTGGTTTGGTAAAACCGTGTTAGGCATAGAAAATCAAATTGGTTTGTGAGAGATTGAAGTCCACATATCATATTGAAACTGCTTTCACAACTGCGAGACATGGCTTTCACAACTCAGTTATTAAAATTTTGGACTTTATAAACTTTGGAAAACCTTCAAACAGCATATTCCGACATCATCAGTTGATATGCTTAAAGCATTTAAAACACATTCGGATCTGAGATTATAAATTGTTGGTTACAGAATCGGAAAGCACTCAGCGTTGAGTACTTTGAAAACTGCGAGAACCAAGTTTATCCAATAATGTATTTAGGGTGGTCGTTTCTGAGAAACGGAAGCACGTCATTCATCAACGGAGAGGAGGTCGTCTCAAAGGACACGAGTGAGCCGATAACGGTAAGATTTACGTTGAATTTTATAACTACGAATAGTTAGTTGGTCAGTTATTTTATTTATGGACATTCAGCATCCTAGGCAATTAATGTCTTTACAAAGAATTTGGAAGATGGGTGTATCTGTACATACACTGTATTATCTCATGCCGATTATGAATACCTGACAATTTCTTCTTACATAGATTTAATGTGACAGATATATTAGGTGCTGGCCCTGTTCTATTTTCAGGCAAGATTCACTAGTTCAGAGACAGGCACTCTACCCACATGGAACGTCTGTCTTTTCACCTGATAGTTAAGTTATTTAGGTCCAAAAAATTCCTTCAGAGTAAAAAATGGACGTATTTCTGTCAAACGGTACGAGAGACAGGTGGCGAAGAAGGTGTGTGCTCGTTAGTCAAACCCCGTAAGAATGAATGGGAATAATTGGATTACATTTTGCAAGAAGGAACCACTATTTCTGGCCCATTTTAGAAACAACATAGATGCCATTGGTTTCCCTATACAGATAAGTGTTTTTATAGAAGAGCCAGAGATAGTGGTTCCTTATTGCAAAATGTAATCCAATTATTAAGCACCAGTGACGTCAGCGGCGACGAAGCCGCTGTGTCAAAATCCTCACAATAAAAAAAAGGGGGGGGGGAGCACAGAAAAAACGATGATATTCAACCATGTCTATGGCTAATTTTGCGCCTTCAAGGAAATATAATGATGTGAAAATATGATATACGACGATATTATACATATACATAAAAATAAGAGCAGCGTAAAGAAGCGATAAAAAGTGATTCACTGCTTTGTGCGATATAGTCGTGCAAGACACGAAACCTTAAATAATGGGAATGCTTTCGTTCTAGGCACTTTTCCGAATTCACAAATGCAGAGACAAAAACGTAGAGACCTGCGAGTATTACAACACTTGGAAATGGGAAAGTTTGTGCACGGTGATAAGACTCGTTCCTTTTTTGAAAGGCTACCTGGAACTCCATACCCCGCCTCTTACCTGCCCTTTCAAAAAGGTAAGCTCTCCTCAGGGATATCATAGGAGGAGTGATTTCTGCTCTAACCTTGTCCATAAAATGATCCTTGAATAATAATCCGAACATATTTATTGAGGAGTTATTTCCTGTGCTCGGATCTCAAATTGGTCGTATTTCTGCCAAACGGAACTATGGGCATTAAGCCAAGAGCCCTGAGACCCGCAAGAATACATGTATAACAGGGCTCACGTCATAATGCACTTAGTTCTGTTTGGCAGAAATAAGTCTAATTTTATCACACTGGCTGTTTTTTCTTCGTTCTCCTCTTAATCTTCCCACTACATGGTTAAACAATTCTTCACCGTTCCGTCAAAGCAGCTCATCTTAACATCTGACTGTTCACATAAAAATGTTCGTCAAATCTTAGAGGCCTGACCATTGGAGTACCAAATCCAATCTTGGAGCACCTTCCATTGGTATCATAACATGATGGAATCTTTTACTTTCGGAGCTCCAACATTCAACTGTTGACTTCTACGAGGTTGATGTTTGACATGTTGAGAGTTTCGTTTTGCAAACAAACCGAAAGTGGTTGAATTGGAAAAAATAATGATTTCTGACCACCTGGCTCACGACGTCACCTGAAGCTCATCATCCACCTAGTAGGTAGAAGAAATAGCCGAAAACAGAGTGATACACTGGAAAAAAAAAACATTGGATCTAGAGTCCAGAATCTTGAAAACATTGACAAAAAAAAAATACTCGTGATTCAATCGGAGGTTTGCTTAAATCAAAAGGAAATCCGCTCAAATTAAGAAGCTGCTTCTTGATTTAAGAAAAAATCCGATTGAATCAAGAGTATTTTTTTCTTGTCGATGTTTTTAAGAGTCTAGAATCTAGATCAAATGTGTTTTTTTCCAATGTGACTGTTGCTCCCTTATAATTGTCCACGAGAAAGTGCTGAATCCCCGAAAGTAGAAGTTTCCACCTGCCGCCAAGAGGCCAGTGGGCTTGACTAAAGCCCTCTTCCCCAAGATTTTTCTCATACAAAGGTTCCTTTCAAGATCTTTAAGAATTGCTTACTTTATGAATTCGAATGAGAGACTTTTTATGATTTCCATAAAAAACGATCTAACGACTCTATTGCCAGTAAGACTACTGACGTTCATTCAGCTAATGTCCGTGAGAGCTGTTTAACAATTTTCGGGTCTTTCGTTTCGAAAGTCTTCGGGGGAACTTACAGGCTCAGATTTTACAACTTTTGTCTGACGTAAATTTTGTTAACAGTTGATTTGCACGCAATCGAGTTTTCGCATGATGTAAGTCGGAACTGGAACCTTTGAGCCTTTGATTGACGGAATTTACTAGGAGGGGGGTGGAATATTTTCTTCTCACGACTCTCTTGATTCAGTAACATTCTCATAACGATGAGAGGTATGTTTTAAATAGTATATGAATGGATGTAATTGACGGGATTGAATTGTTCTGTATTAAATTAATTTATTGTGTTCCAGGGCCACTATTATTTGAGAAACGCAAGGTTTGATGCTTTTACCCTGACAGAGTTGCTGGCATCCGGCTCAGCTAAACAGCTCATGTGGAAGTTTCGGGCTATGATCGTTGAGAGGAACCAAACGACTGCTTGCGTCGACTTTGCGCTCCGAGTAGCAAATATCAGAGTTAAACTCTAGATACGTTTTTAAGCAATAAATATTAGGCTGAAAAATTATTAAAATAAATTTTCATAATTGAGGAATTTGCTGAATGAGATATTAGTGTTCGACTAGACATTTCGTCAATTTATTAGAAACCATACTTTTTGGCTCATTTCAGCAAAAAATAATTATGTACATTGAGCTCCTCTATTTAGGTAGGTATTTACATAATTGAGCTAGAGAATGTGGTTCTTCATTGCAAAATGAATTTCCATTATTCTTTGGGATACATGAGAGAATTTGTTGTCCAATTTCCCTAATCGTATTGCTTCCCTGGAAAAAATTGTTGCCCAAAGTATAATAATTTTGAATAATTAACGTGGATTCCATCGAAGGGTTCTATCAGTATAAACATTTTGGTGGCCGATATTTAACTCCGGTAATTTAAAAAAACAAGGATTTATCTAGGATACTTTTTTACAATAATGTGTCCGTGATACTTCCAGCACTCATAATATTTTACACCGTAAAAAGAATACAATTTTAAGCATAAAAGATAGGTATCATGTTCATTGGTTCATTCGAAGATTCTAATAAAGCAACCGAATGTACCAGATACACAATAACAGGTTTGTGATCTCGAATACCACATCTCATTCTTACGAAAGCAATCAAATTGAACTCCCCGGCAATTCTTTTAGATTTTTAAAAACTCGCGATAAATGCACCGA